AAAGGCTTCAAGCTTCCAAGACAGTAAAAACCATGTACAAAGCCTACAGAAAAATAAAATATTTATTTTAAAATTTCTGGGCATTCTTCACATTGCTTTTCATCTGTACAAGTTTCTTGGGAATGCTGCACTGAGAATTCAGCTCAGTTTTCTCTCTAAAAGTGCAGCCGAAGGCGCGAGTGCTCTTAATTGAGGATCACATGGGAAGAGTTGCTGTTAACATGCTCATGCTTAAGCCTTCCTCATACCACTCGTGTATTTCTCTTAGCTGCTCTGGCATGGGCAGCTACCTTCCTTGAGAACTGATTTGGGGACCTTTCCATCAGGAAGAGCTAGACGACACATAGAGAATGCTCAAAATTAAAACAACAACTAAAAACTCAGTATATGTTTTAAAAATGTTACTAGGTCATCTTCTGGAGTACTCTGGCTAACTATTAAGGAATTGGACCTCATGGTGGAGTAGGTATGTCCTGTCTTTCTGTTGTGGAGTTGTCCTGTCTCCTGTCTTGTGTCTGTCACTAGCCATTAGAGAACAGTGGGTAGCTGGTCAGCAGGGCTGCTCCTGGGCTCACAGCTGGATCCAGGAGCCATTAGGGATGAGGTAAGGAGGGATTACACCTCATGTACTTTGCATGGCCACTCGTCTCTTAATTTAAGTGCTGTTCGTTATTTATTTGCTTTATTTGACCTCTTTATTTTGGTCAGTTAATGGGAGAGGGGACTGCTCTGTCGAACTTGTGCAGAAGAACAGTATACAAAGTACTTGCTGCTTAAACTTTGTTTTCAGCATAAATTTAGTTTGAAGGAAGATACAGTGGGCTTTACCTCAACAGTTTTAAATGTCTGCTCTAGGATAAGATGAGCTTCTCCCTACAATAATACCTTTCTCTCCATTGCTTGGAAAGGGAATCTAGCCCCCTTGGCTGCCAACTCTGATGTGGAGATGTACATTTGATCAGACAAATCTCAGCTGCAGTCAGTCTTTTAAGAAAAACTAACTGCAAAGTCATACCATAAAACTTCAAATTCTCCTTTGTGTTGTCCTTAGACTGCATGGAATTTCGTAAGTGAGATAATGATAATAATGATCTGACTTTACATTGAGAGTTTGCCTGTTAAAACATGACAATACTGCAAGCCACAGTTTTTCGAGACCAGTGGCTCAGGTAACAAAATTGCACACAGAGTTTTGGAGCTTCTTCTTTGGTGCATGTAAACAGCAGTCTCTTTGCCTCCCTGAGCGGTGGCGTGTGTATTGCAGAGGTTAAAGGAGGACAACACACAGATAGGGGGTTGAGGCAAAGCAGAAAGCCTGTTGCAGAAGGTGGAAGTTTTTAGGTAGGCTCCTAGGCTCTAGGTAGACTGTCTCTGGAAAAGCGAATCCCGACAAAGCTGCTGGTCAGCAGGAAAGGCCACCAGGCCCCTGTCAGGCTGGGGGGCTCATGAATTACCATTTTCTAAAGCAATCGGAGAGCTGGAACCATTTGTCACAGGCAGAAAGACAAGAGGCTCCCCTGGGACTTCAGGAGGGCAGAGGGTCCAAGTTCCCGGGAAGTGAAGTGGGGCATTTCCTCCCAGAACAGGAAAGGATGCCCTGCAAGTCTGCAGCTATTGCTGGAAAACTGGAAATCCTAGCTAGCATCAAGCAATGAACGGGGAACAAATGAGAGAGGCGTTCTGAGTACTCGCTTCCCCAAAGCGGTTTGTGTGTGATCAAATCAGTGCTCTCTTTGATGAAGGATGTTTCATTTCCCTAAATTAACTAATGCTTGAGATTAAACCCAATACATTCAATTTCAAGCAAAGCCAATTTGTATTTCTGCAGGAGTTTAAGCCCAAGATTCCCAGTTGTTTACAGGCTTAAGTAAAAATAACTTCAATCACTCAGTGAAATGGAGAGAGATACATATCAAAATATATTGCCACAATAGTTTCAATCCTCTCAAAGGAAAGGCAGCTCCAGTCACCATATATATTTCTCTCTTGATATCAAAAGATTATTTTATTCCATGTCTCTAGTTATTTATTTAGCTAGATGACCATGACACAGTATCTCAGGTCTCAGAGGCCATTTACAGAGGTGATAGAGAGCTACGGTGCTGATTTATGGCTGTTCAGTAGCTGCTTATTTTTAGTTGATTGAATTACACCCCTATCTGAATCATGATCATGACGGTGACTTACTGGTTATGTTCAGCAATGAGTTCAGATATAGCCCTTCAAAGAAGGGGATTTGCACGTTCCAAGAAGAAATGGACGAATAACTTGACTCGGGTTAGTGAAAACAGTGATTAGCATCACCAAGCTGCTGTAGTTTATGCAGAAGTTTCTCAGTGTCTTGTACTACACTGACAGATGTAAAGCAAAATGCAAAAGGATCAAATCATAAAAAAAAAAAGTAGAATAGTTTTTAAGAACAAAATTGTTTCAACTTTTTATTGTTAAAAACACACAAAAAATGCAGACATGGCAAAGCAGTTGACGCAGAAGCAGGAAAAAAAAAGTATAATTATATCATTCATACACATTCATGCACATTGTCTCATGGCGACAGCAAATTAAGTGGTGTTGTTTTCTGAGATTCACCCTGGCTAAAAGATACATTTTAGAAAGTCAAAGCTAAGTACTGCCAGCAAGCTGCAAATATTTATTGCAGTTGGGAAAGGAATTTTAAAAATGGTGGGAAAGGGCTTATTTTCCTCTGTGGGTATTACTGCCTCACACTATAGAAATACTAAAAGTTTCCAATGCTTATTTGATAATATGGATGAAAGCTAAATGATTTGTTGCTTTCTTCATTATTTTCCAGGCAGCAATTAAACTGCACTAGAGATATTTGAAAACATAAATACGGTACAAGAACAAAATGGTTTAAATTTTGGCAATGTCTTGTGATTTGCAGAAGATAAGCTAGTATTTACTCTGGGGATACACCCATTTGTCTACAGATTAATGGTAGCAAGAACAAATAATTGCTTCGAGCTAGTTGCCAAGATCATACAATGCATAACATTGCAAATTATGTGAAAATAGGCCATCATTTTATCTTGAAGGTTGTGTAACAAGTTATCAATCTTCTTTTTTTTTTTTTTCCTCATCTGTTAAGAGTTTCAGAATTACAGGAAGTCGAATATGTAGAAATGTTAAGGCATGTCCCTGCAAGACTGTTATTTCTAAACCTGCAGTTGAAAGGATCTTAAAATGCTTTCCATCTGCTAGAAGTTACACATTACATGAGGATTGCTCCATTGCATTTATAAGTGCTTTATGGAGTGAAAGGTTGGAATTGTAGAGGGACACGTTCAACATCTCAGCACTACTTCCTTTCACAACATGCACTAAGGCATTTATGGTACAATTTTATAATTAGAACTATCTGAACTTGTATGTGCTGCAATTCATAGCGTAATACAGTAATGCAAGGGAAAGATGCGACAAAAGATTGATGATAAATTTCTTGGCCATAAATGTAACTCTTACCTAAAAATGCGCCATGACAAAATGGACTAAATAGAAATGGAATCGTATTCAGTATATATTTACTCTTTAATAGTTGACTTCATACATTGATTTTAGAAAGTGAAGCTACCTTAGTGTGACTGAGCCACTTTTCCTTCAGAAAATAAGGCATCATTGAATGTTTTGAGCTTGATGAAAGACTGGCTACAGATCACAGAGAAGAGGAATGTTCTGTATGGAGAGATTCGTACCGTTGTGCATGTTTCCTCGAGAATTTTGTGGCAGAACATTACAACATTACATATCTTCAGATTCAAGTAATCTATGTTTCTTAAAGCTTGTGAAATAATACCTATTTCTGCCTTAAGTGCCGTAATGGAAGGAATGTTTTCATTGTGCAAGTATACTTTGATACATTGCAGAAACCAGCTAAATATTTATTTTGTAATGGTTGAGCTTTAAAATATTTTATTTGTCTAAGTAAGGAAAGGTTTGCAAGCTGATTAGAAAAAATAAAGATGTAAGGATGAAATGTGCAACAAGTGACGGTAAGCACCATTTCAAACAATAAATGTGGTTAATTTTTTTTTTTTTTTTAATTAGGGTTCTATTTCTCTCCAAACCTAGAGGTCACTCTATCTCTGTACAGTTTGGCAAAGCTCCTGGTCCTTCATATGAAGGCCAGATAAGTTTGTTGCTTGAGTTAACGAGAAACTAAGCCTGCTTTCCTCCTATCGTCTCAGTACACGTGAGTGGATGCAGATGCAGGGAACAGGCAGAGCTGTTCCTTAACGTGTCCTGTTCGTGGCCTGTCTTGGTCTGCGTACAAACACCTAGTCAAAAAGTTTGCAGTTTAAGTCTCTTTACATTGAAGTTCGTATCAATTTCTGTCTATTTTTTGCCATTAATGACATGTTTTGTCCATAGGGAGGAATGGTGACATTTAAAAGAAAAAAAAAGGTGAAGCAACAGTGTAATATATATTTTTTACACAAACTAATAAAAAGAGCTCTTTCTATTTGTTTTCTGGCTGATCTATTACTTTTTTTTTTTCTCCCTCGTTCTCACCTTTCATTCCCTGCAAGCACACCCACATATTTGCAGCCAGTCTCCGGGGATGACTACAGATGTGGTCACTGTAATTGCACATTTGGGAATTTCTCCTCCTCCGTTTCACTGTGTGTCAAGGCGAGATACACCGAGGGACAGGGCAAGGGCGGCAAGAATAAAGAGGAGCATTAACGCAGTTAGCAGGTTATTTAACGCTCCCTACGTTAACACATTTTGCCGTTTTTCACGGTTTCAGTGCGCTGTGTAGCAGCTCTTGGCTTTAAAAGCGCCCCCGCCCCGCGCACAGTGGGTTTGGAGCGGGGTGTCCTCAGGTTCTCCTCACAGCCCCGCAACCGCCCCCGCCGCTTCCCGCCCTGGGCGCGCGCCCCGCCCCGCCCCGCCCCTCCCGGCGCCGTGCGTGCGCGCGCCCGGCGCTGACGCAGCGGCGGTCACGTGGTGCCGAGGAAGAGGAGGAGGAGGAGGGAGGCCCGGCCTGTCGCCCCGGAGCCGCCGCCATGCCGCCGCCCGGCCGCCCCCGCCTCAGCCTGCCGCTCGCCCTGGCGCTGCTGCTGCTCGTGGGCCCGGCGCGGCCCATCTCCTTCCAGCTGCCGGGCAAGGCCCGCAAGTGCCTGCGGGAGGAGATCCACCGCGACACGCTGGTCACGGGCGAGTACGAGATCGGCGCCCCGCCGGGATCCTCCACGGGCCCCTCCGCCAACCTCAAGGTGCGGCCGGGCCGCGGCACCCGGAGCGCGTCGGGGAAGCAGGGGGGTCGCCCCGCCCCCCGCTCCGCTCCCGCGCGCGCGGCCGCGCCGTGACAGCCCCGCGCGGGGCCGGCCCGGCCGTGGCGGGCGGGGCGGGGCCACGGCGCGTAACGGCCGCGTAACGGCCGCGGCGGGCAGGCGGGCGGCCCTGGTGGCGGGGCCGCGTGGGCAGCCCCGCGCCGGGCGCCCTCGGCCGCGCCGCGCAGATAGGCCCCGCGCTGTGTGCGCGGAGCGGGGGCGGAGGCCGCTTGCACTGACGTGGCTCTCCGGGGCCGCTTCCCCGCGTGCGGGGCCTGGGCGGGCAGCAGGAGTGCGGGGCACGCACGCGGGGCCCCCTGCTCCTGCTGCCCGCTCAGGGTCGTGGTTTGTGGGGGGCTGTGGGGTGTCCTGGTGTGCCGCCCTGGCAGGCACCAGGGCAGGAGCCTGCAGGAGCTCTGTGGAGTGGAGAGCAAAGATGAGCACAGTGTGTGTGGATAACGCAGTTACGGCGTGACAGGAAGAGGTTGAGGCACCTCTTTAACAGCTTCTCTTTAACTCTGTTTCCTGTCAGCCTTTTCTGGGCTTTCTTCTAATTCCCCGATTCTCCAAGAGACCAAGCAGGTCTGTTACTACTCCATCAACTTATTTCACATCCCTACACACACCTTGTCTTATCTTTTGCTTCTTTCTGAGCTTCCGAAGGATTTTAAAAGTAACCACATGAGCAAGCAGTGACAAGGGTGCCTGCTCAAGAATCTATGAGCTCCGACATAGGAGCGCACGGTGAGAGCTGAGACTTGCAGCATCTCCCTTGAGGTACCTGAAGGCCTTGGCGTAGTGGCGGTCATGCTGGCTTTGGGCTGGAGAAGGCTGTTCCTGGAATCTTGGTTTTTTTTTCTTTGTTAGTGTTTTGCCTTATGTAGCTACATCATTTGTAAGAAGAAACTCATCTGTGTGGGTATAGGGCCAAGCAGCTTTAGTGCTTGCCTTGGAAGGTGCGTGCGTCTTAGCCTGAATGCTGTGTTACCTTCTGACTTTTCTACTCGGTGTCTTGGATCTCTGCTTGCCTGCTCTGAGGCTGACAGAGCTGCAGTCTTCCCTGCAACTTGCTTTTGCCACACGGGTCTTGTCCAGTGAGGTGGTGAAGCCAGCCCACCCAAGAGCGCTGGGCCAGCATTTTAGTCTAGCTTTGCTGTTGGGGCCGATATCCAATATATGAGTGCCCATGGAAGTCTGTTTTTTTTTTTTTACTGCAGGTGTAAAAATCAATTTGATTTAAGAAGCAAATGCTGCTCTGTACTAGCTTGAAAAGCTACAAAGGAGGAGTAAAGCACCTTATTATTCTTATTCATTTTCTTACTGTTCAGGTGTGCTGTGTCCACCCTGAGCATGTTTAAGTGCTGTATTTGTCTAGATGCGTATTTCCTTTGCTTTGGATACGAGCTGCTGTGGGAAAGGTTGGCCCAGGGCGTGATGTCTCCGGGTGGTGTCTGTCCTCCTGCACCCGGCGCTCTCTTTCAGTTCCCTGAATTGGGTCCCCAGAACGTGGGAGGCTGGTAGTTAATCTTGGCTCAGCTCGATGTGGTTCCTGTCCAAGAGCTAAGTTCTGTGTTTGTGATAGCCCAGCACTAACAGTGGCACCCTCTGTTTCTGAGGAATCTGCACGGTTGCCAGCTGGCCCCGGAAGGGCGACTTTTGGGTGGATGACGTCCCGCTCGGCCCTCACGTCACGTGCAGGGCTCCTATTGTTGAGGCTGGCGATCTGGGGAGCCGCTGGGCACCCAGACAGGGGAGAACAATGGCCTGTCTGTGGAGGATGGTGTTACCGTAAATAGCGTTAGAATATTGTGAAAAATCCCTTTCAGGTCAGCTCCTCCCCCGCAAGCGTTCTGGACGGGCTACTCGTGGCTTCTGCCGCCTCCGCGTGCCCAGCTCAACGAGCAGTGTGTTTGCCCGGTTCGGAACAGCCTCCCGTGCTGAAGGAAGCCAGTTGCAGAGCTTCTGCTGCCTGGCATCCCATTCGTGAGCAGGCTGTTGCCAGAGCTGTAAAGAACAAAAGTGGATCAAGCTGTGCAGTATCCTCCAGCTAAAGCACAGCTCTGGTCACTAATAGTATCTAAGGGATGGTGCCCAAAGTAATGGGAATGTTTTGAAGACCTGTACTGGTTCTTGAGACTGAGACTGCAGTGTGCACACTACATAATGTTACCCTGGGGACACACACACACACACACGTGCACACATATATTTACACACATATATATATGTGTGTGTGGGGGTCTAATTTGCTGTCTAATGGTTCAGTGCCCTGTCTCTGGCAAGGGCAGTGGCAACCTAAGTGTACCTGAGTGCACAGCTGTGCTTTAATCCAATTGATGCTTGACTCCAGGCAGAGCTTTGCCGGGGAGCTGCTCTGCTAGAGTAGTGTTCCCTCGTGTCCTCAAGTGCTGGCAGGTTCCAGATGATTCAGGGGAAGCTACAAGGAATCCCGTAATAGACAATTATGGAATATTCCATGTGTAGACGAAGCTGATTCCTAATCTACTGCCAGCTATGGTTTATACCCTGAGGCATCAGAGTTTGATTCCCGTATTATTTTTCCTGCCTAATGTGCAAGCTCATTATCTCTGTAAGAATTTGAATCTGTTCTGAATCCTAGCGTCCTGTTGGCTTCAGTGATATCCTGTGGCATGGAGTTAATTAGGTGTTGTAATAAGAAAGCAAGATGAGCATTTCCTTTGAGTCATTTCAAGTTCTTAGCCTTTCAATAAACTTTTTGTATGGGAAAAGGTTGTAGATTGTGTGCCTGCTTTTTGTTGTAAGATGGAGTAAGGGAGAGCATGTGATTTGACTTTATCACATTTTTTGTGTGTGTATGTACTTCTCTTTTAAAATTATTCCCAAACCTTCCAGTCTTTTCCTCTGTAAGATTTTCAAAGATCTCTAGGATCTATAATATTCAGGCTTTTCAGCTGTATCTATTAAAGAAAACTGGGAAACCTTCCAGGGCAACGTGTGCTGTTGATTTACGTGCAGTGTTATAAAGCTTTGCATTTTTCTCTCCTGCCTGCTGTTCATATTTCAGCTGTTCATATTTTAGCTGGACAGACCTTTTAATTAAGCGTGGCATAGTGATTCTTAAGTTTCTGTCAGGAAAAATGTCCTGAAATGTGTATCTGTCTTTGCTCTTTGTTGATGCAGTTTGTGGAGTTTCTACAATTTTTGCCTATTCTTAGTAATTTCATAGAGCTGGTGCAAAGCAGTCAGTATTCTGTGTAGTCTGAATTGTCTTCTGAAGTGATGACTTTTATGGATCTTGGCACCCAAACCTTTTATAATTCAGGGCTACATTGGTGGTTCATTTCTAGGGGAACAGATGTGCTCTTCTCTATTTCTTCTGCTAGGGAATGAGTCTTTTTTTGTCCCGTACAGCTTCTCTGTATTTCTGTTGCTATGGGAATTTATGAATTTTGCTTGCAGGAAGAAGCTACAGAGGCAATGAATAACAATTTGGTACAGCTAGAGATCCTAAATATAGTGCGTATTCAAGAGTTGTAGAGGGATGAGGAATTTATATATTTATTTTAATGTGATGTGAATAAGTACTTGCAAAGCGCTGTTTTCCTGGGATGGGGCAAGAGAGGTGACTGTGAGGAACTGGAATAGTTGAGAGGAGGGAGAGAAATTGTTGAAAGCAAAATGGAGGAAAGGCTAGCAGAAACCTTCCAGAGTGTCTTAAGAAGTGTGAATAAATGGTAATGAAGCACTGTGGTCCTCATCTACATTGCATCTCTCTTTCAGATAACTGACTCAGCTGGACACATCCTATATGCCAAGGAAGATGCTACTAAGGGCAAGTTTGCCTTCACCACCGAAGACTATGACATGTTTGAGGCCTGTTTTGAGAGCAAGCTTCCTGTGGGTAAGTGAAGCAAAACCTCTGCTATCTGCCTCTAGCTTCTGGGGCGGGTCATGTCTGTAAGTGTGACTGTGCGCTAGGGGTGTGGGTGAAGCAATCCCTGAGTGCAGCTTGCTGAACGCGTTAGGACTCTTAAAGCAGGTCTGCAGGATGCTGTTGGTAGGCATCAGTGGTACCGAGTATCTGCTGCCTGTGTTGCATTTGGAAATAAGTAATCTTCTGTGACTGTGCTGTAAAGCACTCAGGCTTTCTCTGCTAGAGTCATGAGAAAGGAGAATCTTACCTATTTCTCCCACAAAAGTCACAGCAGATCTAGTGATCTGGCAGAAAAGAAACCAAACCTATTTTGCCCTTTCTTGCTTCTCATCTTGCAGGAGAAGCATTTCCAGAATCCTGTCTTCTCCCCCTGTTGCCTTCTCTGTGGACAATTTTATATTGGGTTGAAAACCCTTTTCTGGCACGTGTGTGTGTAGAAGAATGTAGCCTTGTGTTTGCACCCACAGCTGCTAAGTGGTGGACAAAGGGAAGGGGAAATGAACAGGACGTCAGTCTCATAGTTGTGCTGCGAGGACGGTTGCCTAACAAGCACCAAGGCTCGTTTCCTGTGCGTGTGATGCACGTGCTGCTCTGAACGGGTAGGCTCAACTTCAGGATAAACGTGCTGAAAAACAGCCAACGTGTGGACTTTCTGGCATGTTTGCTGTGGTGTGAGGAGGTGCAAGTTTGTAAGTGCTCTCATCTCTTCACAGTTGCTGTCAGAACTCTCTTCTTTGGCCACAGTTCTCCCATGTCTTATCCTAAAAAACAGAGTACTTTACAGAAAAGTCACTAGCATCATTCTCCCTATCTGTTGGAAGGTAGTCTCTGCTTTACTGTTCAGACTCATCTTAAATGATGCAAATAGTTTGCTAGCGAGAGAGGACCTTCCAAAAGCAGAAGGCAATATCATGCATTGGGATTGGGAAGGATCTGCCTTATAGCACTTCTGCGGTATTATACAGATGAGAGAGAGAAAGACTCCAAATGTGCAGGGTTTTGCTTGTACTTCACTCCAAAGGTAGTGCCTTCAAATTCTCCATAACACATCGAGACATGCAGACAGCAGTGACTCATCTGGGAGAGTCACTCGTGCCATTTACTGTCCAACACCTGGATGTTTGGGAGGTCTCCAGACCCACATTTCATAGCTCCTGTGTGATCACACGCTGACGTGGGAAGATTGAAGGCTTCTTTCTTTAGTTGAGTCTAGACTTATTTTTTTCTCCAATGCTTGCAACAAGATGTTTCTTGCCTAGCCTTAGCCCTTTATAGCTCTTCTGATGGTTTCACGTCTCCCTTCTATTGTGGTGAGTTTCCTTAAAGTTTTTAGTACAAATGAGGGTTGAAAAAGTTGCCAGTTTCTTCTTGGATCCTGAGGCCCTAAATTCCTAGCTAACAACGTATGTTGCAAGCTGGATATCCCTTGGCTTCCAATGCTTGTGCCAGAATTCAAGGGAGTATTAAGGTGAGAGAGGTGGTGCTGTAAAACTGAATTACGTATCAGGGTAAGGTACTGGGGAAGAAGAAACCAAGTCGCAAGGAAGTCCCTGCCGTGGCTCTTCTATAATGTCAGCGCTGGGAGGATCATCAGCAGGGGCGGTTCAGGTTAGATGTTAACAAGCATTTCTACATGGGAAGAGTAGTCAAGCATTGGAACAAGCTGCCCAGGGGAGCGGTGGAGTCACTGTCCTTGGCAGCATTCAAGAAACATGTAGGTGAGGCACTTAGGGACATAGTTTTACAGGCATGGTGTTGAGAGGCTTATGCTTGCACTCTATCTTGAAGCTCTTTTCTAACCATTTTGATTCTGTGACTGGTCTCTAATTTCTCACTGTTTCTCTAACAGATTTTGTTTTTTATAGTTTCCTCAAGTAAGCAGTCAGGGCTTCTAGTGCTGCAGCCAAAAGGGATGTTGGTAGAGTAACTGGTAGAGTGCTAGGAGAGGTCAGCTGTTAGCAGAGGAAGCAGGGAGCCGTTACGCCAAGGAGGATCTAAAGAATTGGGTTTTCTTGATTACAACCACAGAAATGAGGAAGAGGAAGTGAAGAGATCCTGTGTTGAAGGTCCAGCTTGTCATAGTAGAGGAGCTTCTTTGGGCACTTCTTATTGCCGCAGGTGATTGTATGGCAGGCTTTTTCCTGTCTTCAGCTCTCCCTTCTTGTGGCTGGAAGGATCCTGTCCTACTGCCCAGGGCTATGTACGCAGGAACACCTACACTAGCATCAGATGTTACTTTCTCTTTGTAAGGTTCTTGCTAATCTTTACCTGTTTTCTTTCTTATAGTGATGGCAATTCTGACTAGTCATATTAGAACTGTTGCTAGGACAGTTAGGGAGAGGAAGCAGCTCTGTGCTCGCATGAGATGACCCAAAGAAGACCCCCTCCCAAGGCATGCAGGTAGTAGGATAATTCAGTCCAAGATGTCATGGGTGTGTGGTGGCTGTGGGTTGTGTGTGTGGTATTTTTTTTTGTTTTGTTTTGGCAGGGGGGGTAAGGGGGTTGTTTTCTGTTTTGCTCCTGATCTCTGCTCTGGTGAGCATTGACTACAGGAACCAGTTTGTTGCTGGGGGTCTAGTGACCTGGATAGAAGCTGCTTAGTACTTCAGCTTAGTAAACTTCTGAAAGAGCAACTTCAGTTTTTCCAGGATAGTCCCTTTCAGTGTTAACCTCTTGCAGAATGTCTGCTCTCTGTCCCTTTGCACTCAGCAGCTCTTTCATTTGCCTGCTTCTTACTGCCTCTTGGCAGCTCTCCCTTCTAGACCAATTAATCCTCCCAGTCCTGTTCTCCTGTTCACCCGCCTTTTCATCTTTTTCACCTCTTCCTGGAAACCTCAGAGCTCTACCCAGGCTACTATAATTTAAACAGCATGAAAACACTCACTGGAGTGTGGTCTTTGAATTTTCTTGTGCACCCTCTTTGTCAGCCTCCATGCATATTGATATATGACATAAGTGGTCAAAAGCTGTGGCTGGAGAATGGAACACTGGAATGTTGTAACATGTCTGTTAAAGAATGGTGTTGGGTTTTGAGTTAGCTTTTACAATAGCCAGACTTTTTTTTTTTTTTTTTTTTTTAAGCAAACTGAGAGTTTTTATCCTAATCCTATGTGATCCATTAGGTTCTTGTATGGCCCAGTTTGAATTTGGAGCCATTGTATCCTGCAGGAAACTAATGAAACAAGTTGTAGTTAATGCAGATCATGGTGCTAGGGTTGTTCCACATGCTGATAGCAGTATAAACTGGAGGTGATTTTAGTGAATAGAGAACTTGAGGCTGCTATTAAAGAACTGGATGTTAGCTTGGTCTGAAGTGTCCCTGTGTAACCTGTGTATTGAATTTGTGGACTGAGAGAATGTCCACCTGGCGCCTTCGAAGGCAAGGTGTGAGTCTTGGATGTGCTCCTGGATAAAGACTCTGGAGTTCATGGTGTGAGTGAATTTAGACCTTGTGTTTTCTTGGCAGCCACCTGAGGACAACTATGTGTTCCAAAGTGCTGGGGTTTGGAAATGTATTATGTATGAACATGGCCTTGGTGGGTGGTGTAGTGCAGTAGGATATTCAGTACAGCTAAAGTACTACATTTTTAATGGTATTTTATGTGATTATCCTCTTTTTAATATTTTTCCCCCTCTTGTGAGCTTTTCCAGATACAATAGCTTGTAGTTCAAGGAGGCTGTTAGCTGTATGGCTCTCTAGGGTGAAGGCTCCAGCCTTAAAAGGTACCTCTCGTGCTGCTGACTGCAACTTTCCTGGACTGGTCGTCGCTGCAGAGGGCAGCTCTGAGGTAGCGCCGTGGTCTTCCCTCCTGAGACTCTGCAGCGTGCTAGGACCAGTTGTCCTTGGCTGCTGTGACCTTGAATTAGAGGACTTTTTCTTCTGCTCCTTTATGTGTAAAGTCGTTTATTGCCCTGGTGATCTTGATAAGTTGCCGGTGCTCCTCCTGCTAGGAGGAATGTGGTCTCCCCAGTTGAATATTTGTCCCTCTGCTGACTTGTCTCTAGCTAGGCTGTCTCATAGCAGCTGGTATTCATCTTCTAACCCTCTGCAGTTTTTACAGTGGTTTGCATCCTACACGCACTTAGCATTCTTAGTTACAGCTTGTTCTCATTATCTTTGGGAGGCTCTCCTTCAGCCAGGATTTATTCAGAAGGCTCTGTATTTTTAGGCTGGACTGTGCTGCCTCCGCAGTTAGCTTCAGACTGGAGGGGAGGGATGTGTGTGGTGGGGAGAGCTGGTGATTTCCTGGCAGGCTGAATGCTTCACACAATGAATCCTTTCATTATGCTTCCAGGAACAGGGAGGATGCCGGACCAGCTCGTGATTCTGGATATGAAGCACGGAGTTGAAGCAAAGAACTATGAGGAGGTATGTCCCTTGGCTGCCTGCACTTCACACTGCCCTTTCCCAGCACTCACGTGATGCCATTTGTAGATCAGGGGCTTGTGATGGGAAGCTGTTTTCCCAGTGGTGATGAAAGACTGTCTGCAACCATTGAAGCTTTGTGTATTGCGGCGTGTGGGGACAAACATCAGCTAAAATCCATTCTGTGCTTTGAGGGCCTAAGTGTGTGAACATCTTTGCAGGGTGGTGTCACCCAGCGTAGCCATTAGAGGCAACAAGAGGCTGAGCTGTATAGTTTCCCCTGACTCAGCAGCAGAGGGCATTTTAGGTTACTATCAGATCATCCTGAAGGTGACGTTGCATTTCTGTGGTTGTTACCTTAATGACTGACAGAGGTGTTGGTCTGACAGTCGAGAAATGGTGCTTGTGTCTTTCTAAGATCCGTCACCTCATTGGTATAAAGGTATTTGGCAGAGTAGGTGGTGTGCAGTGGGGGTCTGGTTTGAAGGTGAGATGTTGGGAATGGACATGAAACATTAATGTTTCTCTTCTAGAATTTAGTTTTCTTAGACCCCAAAGCCAGCTGTGTGGAATAGCAGTGGTTTCATGGTTAAAGCAATCTTGGACTTGTATATAGGCTGAATTTTGATAACTGCTGCCATGCTTTTGGCTGCTAGGTTTTAAAATCGATGGCCCTCAGTAGATCCTGAGCCTGAAAAAAATAAAATTGTTACTGGTGAAGAGTTCTGGCAGTTGATTACTATGCCCACTGAACAAAACGGTGTGAAATGCCTTATGGAGGAAAGCGAGTGGTAGAGGCAGCAGGCAGTGGCAGTTAGGAAGACTAATATATTTCTGGGCTAGGCTTGCTGGAGTTTCATATTCTTGTGAGCCTTTGGGCTAGCACATCCCACACGGAGAATAACAAACTGGGGGCAGGGAAGAACAAAGCAGTAAATTAGGCCAGGTGGCTAAGCTGGCACCCTGCTACTGAAGGACTGCAGAATGTTGACCCCAATATGATGACCCCAAGAATGTGACTGAATTATGACAACTGCATGTACAAGATTTCCTTGAAGACAGCCCTGAGAAATATGCTCAAGATAGATTGTTGTAATGCTGCTTGTAAGTACTGTTCCCACGTAGAAAAATTCTTTATGCTGGTCTATCTGCATCCTTATGGGGTTGAACTAACAATCTTGGACTAAAGTCAGAATACATCACATTCCTCTCCAGTGTGGTTAAATTAATGAAAAGGTCTGTGGGCAGATTTGGGTGACAAATGTAGATCAGCAGTCCTATCCCACTATTGAATCCAGATTCTCACAGGGGTAGGAAGCAACTTTGTGTTCTGGAGATCTCTCAGAATGACAGGAGATGTCCAGCCTTGACAAGCAGTGTATCTGTGAAGTATGCACACTGGTTTATTCTTTGTGCTGCTGCTGATGTTATTTAGCTGTGCTGCTTTGCAATGCGTTTCCCTCTTGTGTTCAAGTTGTTGTAAAGTTTCTGAGTGTTTTTGTCAAGATAAATCGTCAGAGGAGAGCGCTGTTGTCCATGATTCTCTCCTGGATTTGCTGCTTTCTTGAGCCTTTTGCTTGTGATGTTATTCTACTGTAAGGCACCATTATCCTCTCTTCCTCTGAATTATTGTTGAGCTGTTGCAAGGAGAGTTGATGTGGGAATTTGAACCAGGGTTGGTGACACCGTCCTGCTTGATACTGCCTTAGCTGTCATGGGGTATGGCTTTGTCAGTCGTTCCTTGGGGTAGGAAAGCAAAACTTTCCCATTTGGCAGATGGAAATGGAGATGGAGAAAGGTGAAAAGGCTTTTCAGAGGACACCAGGAGCACTAGCTGAAAGGAACCTAGATCTCCAAGTCCTTGCCATATTTTGACACAATGTGTTTCTCTGCTCTGGGAAGAGAATTAGATTTTGGCCCATCTGTCAGTGCCCCTTGAACTTGAAAGCAACTCCTGGTTGCTTTGATGGCCAAGATGTTCTCACACATTCCAGGCTGATGGTATTTCCATTGTTCACCATCAAAGATGCTTGCTGGGCTTTTTACAAAATCCCTTGCAGCAACTGTGCATATTGTGATGAGAGGTTGGATTCACTGGGAGTGAGAGAGATTTAAGGATATGTATCAGAAAGTCTGTGCAGGACTGAGAGTAGCCTCGCCTATTAAGACCAGCTAAAGGGATACAAGATGGAATAGACAAACCTAACAAAAATAAACCCAAACTCCTTTCTTTTTTTTCCCCTTCTCTCCTGGTTTTTAACTTGTGAAGCCTTTTGGTGAATATGCAGAAGTGCACTCCAGGGAAGTACTGGAGCCTGTCAGCTGAGGACAGTTTGTCAGCAGAGATGCCCGAGCTGCTGCACGGGCTGCAGGCTGCTGCTGGCGCCGTGTGAGCAGCGCCCAGGCCGTAGGCAGGATTGTGCTAGTGCCAGCTTTCCAGCAAAGCTCTTCCAGCAGAGGTGTATTCAGACCACAGGGTTTTGTTAGTGCAAGGTGCCAGCTAAAAACTGGGAGGGTGTTTTGGTCTTCTGCTTCCTACCTCTTCTCAGGCTCTTTCCAAACACATTGCTTTGTTGGCAGAATTGTAGAATAGAGTTTGAGGGTCTACAGCTTACTAGAATGTGTGTGTCATGCCAGAGACCCTGTAGTGAAATGGCTGATTAAACAGCACTGTCCTGGCAGTAAGTGTCTCTTCAGATCCACTCTGCATGTACAGCTGCATCCAGAAACAGCATTTCTGGGATGCCCGCTCCATGAGCGCCCCTGCATGGCTGTCCCTTTTTAGCCACGAGGCACTTGGTCCTGGGGTTTATTTCTAAGTAATTGCATGTCCCTGAAAGAAGGGTGCTCCGCAACAGTCTGAGCTGGAGGTGTGCCATGTCTGCTGTAGTGATTCCCAAGCCATGTGGTACTTGTCTTCTCTTGCATTACCTCAGGACGTGGAGTCTAGCCATCATGCTGGGGGTTCTCTCAGTCATTGTAATGACAAGGTCTGTGCAAAGAACAGAGTTATTCAAAATCTGTGAGGTAGCAGTGGCAGGAACTGCAGTTAGCTTCCCTTGTGTGATGCCTTTGTCACACATTTTGCCTACTCACTAGTCAGGCTGGACGTGGAAACTTTTGTGACTCCACATATTTACATTTTTAACTCTAGATAGTTGCTGTAATGGAATGTGCTTTCTAATTGAATTTCCGGTAGTTTTTTCTTTTGCCAATAAATATGTGGCTTACAGGAATGTGGGTTGCGTGATGCACATAAAAATGATGTGCTGGAAGATCCAGTTTTATGAAGTCAGCTGTTAGGGGTTTTGTTTGTTTATTTGTATTTTTTTTTTTTTATTGGCCCAGATGGAGCCCATCCCTTACATGTTCCAGCAGCGGCATCTGGTGGCCTGAGGCAGATGGAGCACTTAGCTACTTGGTTCCTACCAAGAGCATGGTGCTCTTAAGTATGTAATAAAACCACTGCGATTAGAAATCAAATTCTTCTGAACTTCTGGGATGAAAGTCAGTGTTTAGCAAAGTGGGTTTCAGTGCTACTATCCAGTGTGCATATATAACGGTATGGTATGCATATATACGTTGTTCACCTGTACCTCATTCTTTCACTTCTGTTCACTGGGTGCTTAGCTGTGCAGTAAGCTCTAAATACCTGGTCCTTGGAAGCCAACTGTGACTCAATTAAGATTCATTAGACTAAGAAAGGGATGTGCCTGTGTGTGTATTTTGCCCTTCCTTCAAGTAGGAAGGGTAAAATCCATGTTTCTGAGAACTGATGGTGCTTTATGCTATGGTAGTTTCTGGCTTGTAGAGGTATTTCCCTAAGGGAAGAATTCCTTAGCTGTGAAGTATGGGAGAAGGAATGGTTCAAGCTGTCAGCAAAAGCCCATGTGGGACCATTTGTTCACTCTGATTTCCTGATTCTTTGTTTTCTAGATTGCTAAAGTGGAAAAGCTGAAGCCTCTGGAAGTAGAATTGAGGCGCCTAGAAGACCTTTCAGAGTCCATCGTTAATGATTTTGCCTATATGAAGAAACGAGAAGAGGAGATGAGGGACACTAATGGTAAGAGGTTGTGTATTCTTTGGGACTACCAGAGCTCTAAGACATTTGGTCTTGCTAAATGTGTTATAAGGACAGAATCTAGTGATGAGGCAATTACAGTGGTCTCTGCCTGTTCTGTTCCTAGACTGAAAAACCCTCTGAAACTTCTCTCCTCCTGAAACAGGCACTCAGTCCTGTGTATCCGTCCTCTGGAAGTCTTTTTTTAATCTCTTCTTTCCTAACGGGGGTTCATGCTGCCAATTGATCACAGTTTCATCTTGTTCCCTCTCATGAGATGGCTTTCCTTTATTCTCATGAGCTGCTAGTACCTTCATGCTGTTTGATATCTTGACTTTAAAATTTTATAGGGATGGGGAGAAAATATCCTGGGGACTTTGCCCTCTTGAGGAGCATCCTGTTGTGTTGGACTCCTGCTCAGTGGTTTGTTTTCTGTTTCAGAGTCGACAAACACCCGGGTTCTCTACTTCAGCATTTTCTCCATGTGCTGTCTCATTGGACTGGCCACCTGGCAGGTCTTCTACCTGCGTCGCTTCTTCAAGGCCAAGAAACTGATTGAGTAAAGGAGCAAGACCTCCTCCCCCTCCCTGCAGCCCCAGCCGGACACCGTTGGGAGCAGCCGTGGCCCTTGGAGCCATCTCATGGATGATATCCACTGACTGGAGCTTTCCTGCAGGAATTGGCCCCTGAAGCGGGAGGGGAGCATAGACATTGGAGGCAATTGGGGACTTTTGAAAACCTATTGGATGTTGAGGGGGGGAGATTGTTAAGGGTTCGGGGGTTCCTGGGCGGCGATTAAATAAAAATGATGTTTCCGTGACAGCTGCAGCAAGCTTTTGCACTGTCTGTTCTCCATTTATAATCCTGGCTTGATGATATCTCCCATCTGTCTGTGACTGTAGTGTTACTGTGAGCCACTTGATTCTGCTGAGCTTGCTAGGTGTGATGCAGCTGGCACCAGGGCACAGCGAGGTGTTCCCTCTTCTTACCAGCTGGGATCCAAGCCACGTGCAGGCAGAGGTCAGTGCAAAGCAGAAGGATCCATCATTCCAGCAGGGCCTGAGGATAGAGGGAGGTCCAAGGGTTGGTACCGTGTTTCTCCCTGTGGGAGTTGAAATCTTTGTGCTGATGGATCCAGGCACTGGAGCATATGGTGGTTCAGGCTGGAGAATGAGGGAGCCTGGGAAGGAGAGCTTGCTCCCGTGCTTGAGCTTGGAGAGGAAAAGCCTGTACTGCTTGGTTAAGCTGTCTGAGCGTTGATCTAACCCTTGCTCCATGCATTTTTCTTGGATTAACCTCTTCTCTGTGGAATTGATGGAGCAGTTTCCCTGAAAGCCATGGTCAGCGACAGCTTTTTGCAATGCAGACAGCAGGAGTCAGTCAGATACAGTCACAGTGCAAACAGGAGCAACCTGTGCTAGGAAATTTTGTCTTACATTGAGCAGGAGACTTTTCTCACCTAATACTGTATAGTTTATTCAGCAGACAGCTGGCTGAATCTGCCTCTTTGAGACCTCAAAACAAGGAATGTGAAGCAAGAAGGTCTGTACCCTGCTTTGAGGTGTGAGGCTGAGAGGTGCTTTTCAGGTTAGCAGAGGATTTGTTGAAGTATGTGGATGAACTGGAAAGCAGTACACATTAGGAAGAGGCTAATGCTGCACCTATGAGGCATCTGAGCTGTGCCATCAGCAGAGCTGTTGCTCTCCTGTGTGATATTACAGACTCTCACAGGTTTTTAGCCGTCCAGATGGCATTGTGTCAGATAATCCAGGCTAGGAAAGAAAGCAGGCAGTGTTAATTTCCTGAATTTATATGCTGCACTTTTTGGGCAGTGTTTAAAACTTTCACCTTCTCTGCATTCCTTCAGAGCAAACGGTTCAGCAGCCCAGCAGCGTGGATGTGTCTAGACCATTCTGTCTAGGGAAAGGGTTGTCATGGCCCAGCCTACCATTTTGGAAAAACAAATGTGTGTTTATAATTTCTAACCTGAATCTGATCTATTGTTGGAGGAAAATAGTTGTTCAAGATGAGACAGTGGGAAAGAGGGTGAAAAGATGGCTTGCTGTCATCCAGTATATTAGAACTTTGTGCCTCCTTTTTCATTGCCCAGATTCTGGAGTTGTTAGTTCCCCTGGAAAGTGGAAGAATTGCTTTTAATTTGTTTTCCTTTTTAATAAAGCCATATGAAGAACCCAAGCCTACTCTTCTCCCATTGCATCCACCTTATCCATGTAAATTTTTGAGAGCTGTTACAGTGAAGAACAGCAGTTACACCACAGGACTGAATTACAAAAATCACTTGAAGTTAGTTTTAGGTCCTACAGTTTGAAGCCTGTAGCAGATCTGTTAAGGTTTTGCTTTTTATATTATATATATGTATGAATTGAAAAGGCAATACAAGGAGGAGTCTTCCCTTGTCTTGTCTGTTTTGATATCTTCTCCCTGACCTTATCAGAGTACACAACAAATCTTTATCCCCAAAATGGTGGTGAGGCTTTTAGTTTCCCAGGTGATTCCTACAGTGTCATCATTATGGATGTTGCTTTTTGACCTTTGCTGTAGTGGTATGGTTACCAGAAAACAGATGTGGGAGACCAATATGAATTTATCTGTAATGATTGGTTGGGGAATTTTTTGTCAATTTTCTCAAATAAAATTTCTTTGGGGAAAAGTAACCCATCTCAGTTGTCTGTGCAAGTCTTGTCCACTTTGTGCGCGTTCCTCCTGCCTGCTGGTCCCTGCAAGCTGACCTGTCCTAGGAAACAACAGACACGCAGACCTCCCAAAGACTTGGTGTTTCTCTACTAAAAGTTGTTTTCTAAAGAATTTGAGAATTCTGGGGTCTGGAAAGGACTGTATGTACTGGAGTCTCTCTGGGGAATAAGATCAATAGAGCAAATGTTGGTTGTTCAGCAAGAGTTGTGGCCGATAAAGGTCTGTGTTTTGTTATCTCCTGTCACTTCCTAATTATCTTTTAATTAATTGTTAATTAGAGACTTTGGGAATACTAGCTTGGTTTATAATTGCCTGATAGTGAAAGAGGACTGGTGCTGTAGAATATAAAATTCCTTTTTTCACTGTCACCTCCCAAATAAACTTCAATTCATTAAGAGAAATTTACTTTTTGTTTGTTTGTTTCAGAGGAAACCTTAAATTGTTGCAAAGATGAGTTCTATGTGAGTGACATATTCGCAGAAGAGAGCGATGAGGTATCTACCTAACTGCTGTCAGATACACTCTACTGGGCCTCATGCAGTGACCAAGTGAGATATATCATATAATAGGACTGAGACTTAAATGCTGCATAACTGGCTAGTAGTATCAGAGAGAAATCCAAGAAGGGAAATTCCCAGAGGATTAGCCTCTACAAGTTCTTGCTTGGATGAATATTCAGGTATGTGAAATCGTACAGCTGTTCTTATGCGGTAGGTTGGAGGTGGGTCTGAGCTGTTTCAAAGTACTGTGGATGCAGAGCTAGCATGTTCATTGCATTTACTTCTGGGAAATGGGCTAAAGTTGAGCTGTTGCAGATACTTGGGCCTGAGCCCATCTTTGTGTGTGACAGATGCATCACTGGTAAAACTATAATTGCCTGTAGCAAACTGCATTAGACGTTTCCAGCCTCTTCCTCCCACTTCTCAACATGACTAACAGTTTAATTATCACGCTACTTTCACAGTGCGTGAACATTCCTAAGTAAGGTATATATCCGTGTAATCCCCCTCCTGCGATGTCAACGTAAATTGTGTTCTTTGTAAAAAGTACCCAGGGCAGCTGCTGCGTTTGTGCCCACTTCGGGGGACAGAAGTTCTTACACTCCGCTCACTTCTCACGAGGCAGTATGTGAAAAATAATCCACGTGTACCATACTTGAATTGTCTCATAACCGACAGATCTGAGTATTTAACTACAGGGCAACTTCTGAAGGACTTTTGACTCAAGCTAGACTTTCAGCTGGTTGGCAAGATCTTAAGGGGACTCCAGCCTGTACAGTTCATGGGCTCCTACAAGAGGCATTGAGGAAACTAGCGTGGTCTCTCAACTGTTACAGATTTATGGAATGAATTTCTGTCTCAGTTGAGTCTTTCATCTGTACTTATTGCTGAGGCCCAAGATGTCCTTGCCTTTAATGAATTGTGTCTGTGGGAAATGAGCTTTGCTTAAGTTGAAGGGTTCTCTGGAAAGGAGAGAGCAGAAACATGAGACTTAAACGTCTTTCACAGGAGAAAGGTTGAGTGTAGTGGCTTGTGAAGATGGCAGCTGTTCAAGGTGGGTTGTATTGTCTGTTACCTTTCCCCAATGTTATCAGACCTGTTCTGATATTTCTACCCCCCCAAACAATGACTGCTGTTTGTGGGGTGACTGTAGAAGACCTATAGAAGTCCTATTCTTTGGGGAAGATGGGAAGAACAGAGGATTTAGAAAGACTCTGCCTGTTAGTATTTTTTGGACTTTTTCATAAACCTCAACCAGACGAGCCCAAGCATTTTTTGCAGCTCTAAAATACAAGTTTATACAGAATACTGTTGGATTATTTGTAATAAATCTGTGTTACTTCACGCTGAAATAAGCTAGGAATTACCTTACTTGAGCCCCATCTGAAACAACTCCCTAAACTTTCTACAGAATAGCAGTGAATGACTACTTACGTTACAAGTGGTTCCTGTGGTTTATCACCTTAAACTAAATGCAATAGCTTACTATGTATGTCTTGTTATGTTGTGCTTCTTAGAATGCAGTAAAAGCAAAATTGTGGAGTGGCTAAAGCTGATTGTAAGTACCATTGTGATCATTGGCATATGAAAGGCCAAGATGAAATTGCAGGTAAGAATGAATAAATCTACTTATCTACTTTTTAAACATGGAATGTGAATATTGATTTTTTTTTTTTTCAAGTAGTCTTCTGGGTTTTTTTCTGACAATTGTTCCAGATTCTTTAAGCTCATTTCCATGATTTTTTTCTTTTTGGCCAGATGATATTTTGCCAGATTATATTTTGCTAGTTATTTCCTTTACAGTAGAGAGCTAGTGACTGATACTTAGCAGCACATATGACTTTTTCATGCATTCGTGTAAGCTCCTTAATTTGAAACCTGAGGTGCCATCCCTGTTGCTTGGAAGGACAACCTGTATATGGAAAGAGGTACAACCCATAGCCAATAAACTTGGATAAGTAAACTATTCACTTTTGAAATAGGTATTAATAAAGTAAGTGCTGAGGAGCTCTTTAAGCCTAACGCTGTTAAAAGGAACCTCAGTTGTGTCGCAATCTATAAGCAACAGAGACTCCCTCAAGGTAGTGGGATGAAGCCAGCCAGACTTTTGTTCCTGTTCTTTTTAGGGATCCGCATGTCAGTTCCCAAACTTTGATGTGAGCATAGGATCATGAATGTGTACATTCTCTAAGTTGTGTTTTCTGGCCTGGGGATGTCTGTGACTGTCAAACTCTGAAAACAAAAAAAATGAAAAGTTAATGCCCACTACGTATGCAGAAAATCATTTTCCTAAGATTGAGGTTGCTAATACTTCCTTGTGACACAGAAGTTATTGCAGCACCATCTCTAAAATATGATTTATGCAGTTTTCAATTTATTTCATCTGGGCTGGAGAAAACCATCATGAATCATGAGAAGCCTGGCAAGGATAAAGCATGCAGCCATCATCAATGACCTAAGCTCCCTAGCGCGTCCTCCAGCCTGGGCTGCAATTGTTACGCTTATCGGCATGTTTTCTGCAGAGCAATTATTTTTCAATTACGTGTTGTATGCGTGGTGTGATTAGGAAGAAAAGTTAACTGCTCCTTGATGTTTGGAGAAAAAAAAAAGTAATAACTTTTTTAATATGAATAATTTATTCAGCTGCTTTGTTACCAAAACATGGCTTGAAAACTTTTTTTTTTTTTTTTTTTTAAGGAAGATACTCCTTCAATTCTGGTCTTTTCGGGAAGCCCAAGGGGCCGTTTGAGCCCTGTCGCCCCCGCGTTATCGCCGTTGGAAGCGGCGGCTCCAACGGCCCTAACGGCCGTAACAGCCGTAACGGCCACGGCGCAGGAGCGGGCGGGAGCGCGCGCGGGGTCAGCGCGGCGGCAGGAAGCGGTTCCGGGTCGGCGGCGGGAGCCAACATGGAGCCCGGCGCGGGGCCTCGCTGAGGCGCGCGGGGCCGGCGCAGCTGCCGCCATGTCGCTGGGCAAGTACGAGCGGCATTGCGACTCCATCAGCTCCGACTTCGGCAGCGAGTCGTCGGGCCGGGCGGGCTCGCGCGGTGGCGGCGGCGGCCTGCCCGGCGAGCAGGAGGAGCTGCACTACATCCCCATCCGCATCCTGGGCCGCGGCGCCTTCGGCGAGGCCACGCTCTACCGCCGCACCGAGGTAGGCTGCCCGCCGCCGCGGCCGGGCCTGCCCGCACAGCCCGCACACCGAGCCCCGGGCGGGCGGCGGCGACGGGCCCGCAGCGGCCGCCGAGGCCGCGCCGCCGCCCCGCGTCCCCGGCGCCTCGCAGGCCCCTCCGAGATCCCCCTTTTCTTTCCTGACCTGCTACCAGTTTTTTATTGGAGGCAGCTCGCGGAGGTGCTGCAGCTCGAAGCTGCGAGCGAGCACCGAGCACCCCCCCGGCAGCTCGCTCCGAGCACCTCTCGTGGCGTGTGAGCACCTAGCAGGGCAAGCTGAACTTGCTTTTATTTTTCGCGGTGATTTTTAGGAACGGCTTCATATTCATAATTGTTGGTCCTGTGGGACCGTGGGGCAATATGCTACAAGCGTAGGATTGCAAATGCACCTTTCCTCCCACCCCCAAATGTTGGACCAGAATACACCTAGTCTTAACTGAGACCAAAGTCTGTATCTTTTTCCCTCTACGTCCCCCCTGCCTTTTTTTCCTCTTTTTTTTTTTTTTTCTTTTTTCCTTTCCAGAGAGGATGCCAGCCAGCTAGAAAGATGGCTTCAGGCTGCTCTTCTGAGCATTAAAAAGAAAATTTCAAACTTATTGTTGTGGAGAATCTTCGTCTTAAGCCTCTAAGAAGTTGGAAGTCTGTTTACCTTTCCTGAAATTTTAATTTCCTGCAATAAAGGCACTTGCCGTTCTCCTCAGAGCAGTGTGTTTTAATTAAAAGACGTTTTTGTGTTGCAGGATGACTCACTCGTCGTGTGGAAGGAGGTGGACCTGACCCGGCTGTCAGAAAAGGAGCGTCGTGATGCTTTGAATGAAATCGTTATCCTTGCTCTGTTGCAGCATGAGAACATCATTGCGTACTACAATCACTTCATGGATAACACCACGCTGCTCATTGAGCTGGAGTACTGTAATGGTGAGATCCCCACTCCCACTGAGGAAGAGGAGGCTGCTGCGGTGCTGAGTTACCCTGGCACAGAGCCTGCAGGGAGTACCTGCTGCTTGGGCCTCTTCTAGGGAGCAGAGGCGTGGAGATGAGTTCTGTTGTGTAGCTGCTGCAGAAGAGATTGAGAACTCTTCTGTGCTGTAGTGGACTACGCCTACACTTCTAATGTGCCCCGCGTTGTTCTCTCAGGGGGGCAGCAGGAAAAGGCTATGAGGATATTTGAACCTCTCTGCCAATCCGGAATTGAGGCTGTTTTTCAGTGCAGTTGCTTATAGACGCCTTCATTTGGCACAAACAAACATTTGCCTGACACTGTCAACTTCTGTATTTACTGCTAGAGAAAAACACAGTCCTTCTGGTAGTGGAGAAAACCTTCAAATTCCATCCAAGAGTAGATCAAATGGTGTTACTTGAAATCTGTGCAGGGAAACACAGGCCTCTTGAAGCTCCATTTGTTTTAGGAGACCCCTGTGTCAATTCCTTGGCTCTTCCATAAAGACCACATGCTTAGGGCCATTCTATATTGGAAGACATTGAGAGAGAGAGTGTGTAATGTTCTTGTCTATGTATGTTAATGTCTCTAAACTGATTGTTTTAGTTTGGGATAATAATAAAGAGGTGAGTGTACAACCTGTGTTACACGGGTATGTCTGAGTCCAGCTGGGGATATAGAAATAGGGGCTCAAGAAGAGGGAAACTGGTTTAGCATAATGAGTAATTTTTGTCAATGGTTGGGTAAGTAATATTTTTTTCTTTTATAGTGTACAAGTCCAAGATTGTTTGCAAGTAATCTTTAAGGCTATACTGGATACTGTCAGACACTTTTCAGAATCCCCTCCAAAAAAAAAACACAGCACGGAGGAAAAAAACAGATTTTGAACGTTTCTGCTGTATAATGGCCAAGTCTCTTCGAGAGATCTTGAAAAGACTTTTGAATTTTACCAGATGCTCTCCCCTCTTCAATGAAGAAATTGTTGTTTTGCCCATCGTGCTGTCTGTGCATAGTGGTACCAGGAGAGTTGGAATCATAGAATCATGAATCACTGAATACATCCGCAATAGTTTGCGGGGAGAAGCAGCCTACAAAATAGATGTGTTAAAGAGAAAACAGGGGGCCAAAACTTAAATTGATTAGATTAGCAAAAAAGTGTATTTTTGTTTGCTTTTGTACGTAGAGATATTGATTAATTGAGCTTAGAACTAAATATTCTCATGGCTTATCATCTTGGTGGTATAGTCTGGCATGTTTCACTTTGGTTCAAAAAAGCTACAGAAAAAGATGGAAAAAAATCAAAGTTGAGAAACAGAAATCACTAAAAACCTATGTAGTCTGAATCACAGAGAAAGATTCCTGGGGTAAGGTAGAAATGAGTGCTTTGGTTAATTTGTAAGAGTCATTTACAGATCATTTGTAAGAATGAAAGTAGGACTGGAAAATCAAATGTTAGAGATTATAATAAGGCAGAATGAGAAGAACGTAAGTAAAAGGACTCTTAATTGGAATATTAGAAAAATCTTTCTAATGTGGAAGTCTTAATCCCTCAAGGAAGCAAAGGAGCCATCATCACCTTTTTTTTCTGAACATCTACATGTTTTTGCTTACTTTTTGGCCTACATGTTTACAACTGTTTTGGGGATAATGTACAGCAGAAAGCTGTCTTGCACTATCCTTTTGTTAGGATGTAATATATGATAACTAGCAAGCGGAACAGCAGTAGAATGTGATGAGAGATTTGGGGTTTACTGGTAAGATGGCAAGGACTCTTGCTGTTCCCTGCCTGCAGCAATCTATGCATCATTTCTTTTAATTCTTGATTCTAAGTCTGCAGTCTTCAAGTTTTGGCACTCTGAGGAGATTATTTGATGATTTCAGGCTGCTGTTGAGGTTCTAGTGCTGTAATCAACCCTGTTTTTGAATTCTTTGTTGATGTATTTGGCAGGTAGATGAAGGAAACAAGCAGGTCAGCTGGGTAGTAAGTATGGAAAGACAGTAACTGCTGCTTTCAGGGACTTCTCTGGACTTGTAATTTATTTCTGTTTACTTATTTCTTAATTATTTTTTGTCCTGTTCAGCAGGATGGTCTTACATGTGTTTGCGTACCCCCAGATGTAGTGACCGGTGAAAAAGTAGGGATTGTTGCATTTTCTTTCTGACTCATTATTCAGAGTATATTGAATGGTTATGTTAGAAAGAACAATCCCTGCCTAAGCTTTAATACACCAGTGAGGTTCTCAGATGGAAGAGCTTAATTTTGTTAGTGCCTTCCCGGTTTAAGTAAAGAGTCTGAGGGAGAGCTGTGATGAACCATCAGGTCTCCTGTGGGGATCCGAATATTCTCAGCAGAACAACTGCTGCCGTTAACCACGATAAACCTCTTTCTGTCTCTCTCCCTTACAGGAGGGAACCTCTATGATAAGATTCTGCGACAGAAAGACAAGCTGTTTGAAGAAGAGGTAATTTTGCCTGTTTTGAAGGAGCAGCAGGGCTGACCTGATGTTGTGGGGGTCTGACTGTTTATCTGAGTATTTATATTCTAATTTTTCCACAGTAATGCTGGGGAGAATTTTGTGTAGATCTGGGGACTGATACCCCTTTTCTCCTATTGGGTATCACAAGCGTTTATGGTTTATCAGAAATCTTTTATTTTTCCTTTTAATTTTGGCAGTCCCTGGCATTACAGAAAGAAAGAACTCCATACTCTCAGCTCAACTTTGGTCACTTTATCATCTTGGCTAGCATTTTAATTTAAAAATCTGTTTGTGGTTCTTCATGGTTTGTGTTCCAATTTTTCTCATTCTTTAGCCATTCCATGGGTTCTTTTCAGACTAAGCCTCGTTTAGTAGTTACTTTGAAACTTTATCATCATGGGCTTTTTTTCCTATCCTTTTTTTGGGGGCATTTATTTCCCACTCTGTTTTTCCTCTGCTTGCTGTGATAATTACACTGTTTTCCTTTATAAAATATTTTTTAAAGTCTTCTGGCTCATAGTGCATATTAAATAGCCCACTTCTCATTCTAGAGAGCCCAACAGCAGACAGCAGTTCTTTCACAGATGGTCGTTAGTTTGACTCTTCCCATTTCTTTTCGCTTAATGACTTTTGACTTCAGTGACACTTATCAGGACAATACTATAAAAGGTGCTAGAACAAACAACTTTTTGGTTGTAAAAAAAAAAAAGCCAAAACCAAAAAACTTCTCAGAGATTTTCAAAACAAGAAATTTCCAAGGAAATGACAAATTTGCGTACTTCCCAAAAGACCCTCTAAATAGTACAGCTAGGCAGCCTTGCTGTGCCTCTGTATGTCACGTCACGTGCACCTATTTTCTCTGATTCTCACATAAGGCTTTATTCCTGCCTTTGCAGATGGTGATTTGGTATCTCTTTCAAATTGTGTCAGCTGTGAGCTGCATTCATCGAGCAGGAATCCTGCACAGGTAAGGGTGGCATGCAGTAAAATTGAAGCGAAATGGTGCTTTGCAGGTGTGAGTACAGAACTCCTCTGAGTAGCTTTTGCTTCTGTGCTTAAAGCCAACACTGAACTTCTCTGTTCAAAATGTAGCTGGAATGCTCAGACATTAAATATCACTGATATCACATTTTTTTCAATAAATAGAAACTGTCTTGTTATGAATATGCAAGAAGTTTTTCATATGAAAATGGAGCCACTCTGTGTGGTGCTGCAGCTCTGTGAATAAAGAGTTAATCCATGTGGGAAGGGAGCAAATTTTCTCTTTATTGCCATAGCACATAAATGGTGCTTGCTAAATTGGGTAGGAAGGAGCAGTCTCTGGTGACCTCCCTCCTGCTTCACAGGTAATAGCTGCATATCACATGTATGTCCTTGTGTAGTTCCTGAAGGCTGACAGTGATAAAGATTTTGATAAAGATTTGGCATTGGTGTATTGTAAGATCCACCCAGGTGCATATTTGTCCTGCATTTGGCATAATCCCATTTGTTTGGCTTGTTGAGGAAATAATATAGATTATTAGCTGGTCATGATAATTTTGACATTGACAGAGTGTTTAATAAGTAGCTAGTTGCCTTTTTCTTCTGCCCTTTTCTATTTGGGAGAGGTAAATTTCATTGCTTACGTGTGTGCTTCAGGAGTGCCCAGTGCTGCATGGGCAGAGTAAGGAGGCTGTAGTGTTCCGGGGAGCACCACAGCAGAGAGCTGTGGGTGGATGACATAGTGGGCCACATCTTTCTGTAACTAATGAGGCTGTAGGAGGACGTCTTCTGTGGGACAGCATCCTGATTGCTGCCGTTCTGATCTTTGGTAGAGCTTACTAATGAAGGGTTGGTGCCTAACGCTCAGCACAGCAGTGCGTATGTTTTTGACTTCAAGCAGATGTCATGTCTGTCCTGCTTCGCAATGATCTCCTGCTTACCACCTCTGACAGACACCTCTGGCCTTCCTGCTTTTACCCATCCTGACAGAAAGGTTCACAGTCTACGAATATCTGTGGCCCCAAATCTTTCCATAATAACAAATTGAACAGTTATTTAAATGTTTGCAGTGATTTCCTTCTGCTGCAGACATTGTCAGAGTGACCCAGGACTTTGCGATGCCCCAAGTGGATGAATGCAAAGTGCTGCTTTACTTGGTGGTGTCCTGATCTGCACTGGGAAGTTGTTGATGGTACGTTAGGAAAAGGGGGTGTTATGAAGTGTTGGCCATGGGAGGCATATTCTGCAGGAACTTCCTCCCTGTATTTACAGCCTCTTGTATTGATCTGTGAAACTTTAAATACAAATTATTTTGCCTGGGCCAAAATGTTTTCTATAACTTACGGAATTCAGCATTTTAGTGGCTATCCACCTTTTTATCTTCTGGGTACAGTATATCACGATATACTTTTGCCTGAGGCGTAAGATGGGAAGATGTTATGCTTCTAGAATGGCATCTGTTTTACCCCTCTGTATGTGTTTGTGCATTTAAATATATGCCTGCATAGACATTCATGCATATACTTACGTCTTTGGTTAGCTCAGAAACATCTGGCTTTGGTCCATTTATAAAAACAGGAAAAATAAGACTTGTCCCATGGCTTTCGTGTAAAAAAGGTTTGAGAGTGGGAAAGCAATCTCTGCTCTTGGTCTTCACATAGCTGTCTGGAGGCTCAGCTCTTTGGACTGTCTCGTGTTTGTGTGGGGACATGATAAAACATAGATAGCAGCAGTTACTGCCACAGTACTTTGGATCAAATTGCTTTTGGCAAGTTGCATGTATGAAAAAGTGCCATAGAGCAGAAGTTACTTCATGGGGGGGGCGGTGGAAGAAAGAATGGTAATATGTGAAAAACTGAAATCTGGGAATATATCTGAATGTCTGTATTTCTCTTTCTCCTTTCAGAGATATAAAGACATTAAATATCTTTCTAACCAAGGCAAACCTGATAAAATTAGGAGACTATGGGTTGGCAAAGAAGCTGAACTCTGAGTACTCTATGGCTGAGACGGTGAGTATCTGCCTTATGTGCAGAACAGATTTGATTTTTTTACCTCTACATAAGACCAGAAATGCTTGTTTTTGTTGCTTTTTTTTCCTTTATTCTTTCTATGCCTTTGCATCACCTAAGCTGTCTCAATAGCATGAACATACTTGTTGATGTTTTGCAGCCTACAATTATCCTGGCTCCTGGTTTACCTTCTGAAGATCTGTCTCTGCAAAGCAGCAGTAGATGAATGAGAAATGACACTATGGGCATGTAATTGTACCAGAGCTGGTACAGATGGGTTAGAGAGCACTGCTGCTCTTTCCCTGGTACCTCATTGTGGTACTTCCAAAGGTGAATCTACATCACATAAAGGCCAAGGATACCATCCAAAGAGACAGTGGCTTATGGTCTTGTCACATAGCTTTCCCTTTGGGGTGGTTCTCTCCAGCTTAATAAACCAAAGTAATTTGAGCATGCTGCTCCTCTTACAGGGATATTTTTCCTTTGCTGTGTCTGAGCTGGCTTGCCTGTCTACGCCTCACACTGCCTTGTGCCGTAGATACCTGCCCTTTAACTTTGATATTCAGGCTCTGAACTGAATTTCAAAGAAGCAAGAGAGGCACTCGCTTTCCTTTTGGTAACAATGTGTGGTTTATGGTAATGCCTTTGAAGGGGGGCAAAGTTTGGCAGAAGAGATTGATTCTACCAGAAGGTTGTCAAGATTGGCTTTGTTCCAGATCCTTCCAGAAAGCAGTTTCACACGCAGAGTTATGATGCAGGGCACTGCAGCCACCTGAATGCCTCGGCCTACATTTCCCAGCTCTATTAATTCTTTTATGAGCAGTAGGCTTGGAAAGGGAGGCATTTTCTGGAGCTCTTATTTGCCAGAGGCTTTTATAGCTCAGGATGGCAGCCAGCTTGCCCTTCCCCTTACCAGGGGTTATTATTGGATTTCATTCAAATTATTGGTGTCCCCCTAGGATACATAATTAAACACTCATCAGCCTCCTTCCAGAACATGAGTGCTACTGTGCAGTTCCATAATAAGTGGGAAGTCAAGGATATTGCATATAGTCCTTGCTAAATATGGGTCTAGCAAAATCATTTCTGGTAGGTCGTGTTCTTCATGGGCTTCTGACTTTCAGAGAAAGCACTGTCTGTGCTATGGATTCCCAGATTTGTTTTTGTCTCTGTTGTCTGGCTTCATCTGCACATGCAATTTTACTTTTCTTTCCCTCTTCACTGATGAAAAATCTTGAATTAAGTGTTTTCAGTGGTCTTTAGTTCTGTATATGCGCCTGTGCTCCAGCCTATTTGCTCAATTTGTGATCTAATGACCAACAGCAATCACAAAGATGTCACTGTGGAAGAAGTCCCTAACATGTTGTTATCAGTATTTTTTGATTACAGAGGTTGTAATCATATCAGTCAAATTATGATTTTGTAAAATGTTAACTTCTTGCTTACTAATGCTGAATTTACCAACCTTTCTCCCCAGTCAAGGGTAATGATATAGAAAAACACGTCTGTGTCTGTCTTCTAGAAAGTTTATATTATACTTTGCTTAAAAAAGGTGTGAGAACATTGTCCTGGTTCCCCCTATGATACTCCAGCTAGGTGAGATTTTAAACCTCCCTGTGAAGAGGGCTCCCATTGCTCTGGCTGCCGGGCTGTGTGAAGGGAAATGGAAAGTGGCTGGTGGTTCTGAAGGTGGTATCTGCTATTCTGGCAGAGCTGATGAGAGGCCAGCTCTGTAGTCCTTGGAGCGTTGCTGAGAGAGTTGAAAAGAGGGCAGCTATAAATATTTCTCTGTCTCCTAAATTCTGTACTTTCCATTTTATTCCACTGTCTGGTTCCTTGCTAAGAAGTCAGCGCCATTCATCTGGAAGCTTAATGTTTGCACCTTGTATCGTGTTTGTTCTGTTTCTCCTTGTTGTGACTTTGAGCTATGCCACTATTTCTGTTGGAGCTGAGGGAGTTCCCATATTTAAATGGTGAGGCTTGGGATTTTGTGCTGGACGAGTAGGTTATATTTTGTTTTAAACAGTTCTTCAGGAAGCTTCACTTCTGCAGTGAAAGCCTTTCAGGTGGGACTCGTGCCAGCTTTCTAGTTACTGACCCAGAAGTAGCCCCTCTTGATTCAGAGACAGAGTGGCTGTTGTCCTGGCAGCTCCCTGTGATCAGACAGAGTGGCTCCACAGCCACGGCTGGCAGCTACTTTTGGAAGCTTTGCTAGATCCCTTTTACCTCAGCCTCTCCAAAGGGTTCCCATATGTCTAGGGAACTGGCCCCCTGACTAACTCCCAATGTAAGGTTAAAAGAGCGTCAAACCCTCCCTGCATTCTTCTGACTACTGCTCTGTGTAACACATCAGAATCTGAGCAAGGTAATGTTGATGATCTTTTGAGAAAAGCAGGTACAAGTTCATGGGTAGGAAGGGAAGAAATGTGCTTATTTCCTCCCTCTACCGTGTGTTAATGGTTTGTCAAGGTCTACATCTCTTGACTGCTGGGTTGTAGCTGCATCTGACTGTAACGGGCCTCTGTCAACATGATGGATACAGAGCCCCAGAACTGAAGGCTGTTGGATTATTTCTGATTGTTAAATGTTCTTTTTTTCCTAGCTTGTGGGAACGCCATACTACATGTCCCCAGAACTCTGCCAGGGTGTGAAGTACAACTTCAAATCAGATATCTGGGCTGTGGGCTGTGTCATCTTTGAGCTTCTCACTCTGAAGAGGACCTTTGATGCTACAGTAAGTTTGCAAACCAGGATGGACTGAGTACCCTGGTTTTCATCATCCCAAAATCCATACTTGGCTTATAGCTTTTCTTAGTTACAGATTTTTTTTTCTTTCATTGTTGATAAATTTATTGATTGGAAGAACAGTGGCCAGCTACAGCCAGAGAAAATGTAAGCAAGATTTCCCCTGCCCTGCACTGCCAGTATCTCTCCAACATCTGACAAACATCCTGTCTGCAGCACTGGGTTTATCAGATGCAGAAATGCAGACTCTGCTAATTTGTATCACTGTTAGGAGTGTAAAATCATTTTGTCCAGAAGAAGGCAGTTTGGGATCAGGCAGTCTTGGTTCGGCATTGGTCGTTAAAAGTTTTATGTGAAGCGTTCTGTAGGGGAAATTTCCAGCCTTGGATTTCATAAGATTTAAGATTTCCTGTCATCAGGGCTGCCAGGTTCCCAGTAATTGTGCTGCTGTGCTGTGCTTCAATGGCAATATGCTGCAGAGGAGCTTTTGTGATCAGAGGAGCCTACCCTGCTTCCACAGCTAGGGAATTTGGCAAAAAGATGAATATTGCCACCAAGGCTTCGCTATCAGAAGTACCACATCTTCAGAAAAGAAAATAGGTTTATGTAGAACCTCCTAGGCTGGGAAGAAGGATCTGGCCTTTCTTTGATCGTAGGAGGAAAGAGTAAACGTTGATGGCCTCTAGCATCTCTCCCTGTTGAACACATTGTCCACAGCAGTTCTTTTACAACTGATACCTACTTTCTGCCTAGAACCCCCTGAACCTTTGTGTGAAGATTGTGCAGGGGAATCGGGCCATGGAGGTTGATTCCACTATCTACTCTCGGGAGCTGATCCAGATGGTCAATTCCTGCCTTGATCAGGTTGGTGAGATGCTTTTCAATTTTCAGACACCTGTGCTGCGCTGCCTGAGCCACTCCATCCAGGGCTGGGGGGCTACCGTGCATGTTTCAGAATGAGGAAGGTTGATTCCGGGTAATACCTTGAAGCCTGATGTGTCACTGGGGCTGGGCTTCTTCCAAACCTTTGAAATCATTCTCTCAAGATGCTCTTCAGTCCTTCAGGACTAGGAGGGGTGCTGGGTTTGTTCTCATGATGCTTGTTTTGTGGGCTGACCAAAGTGGTCACTTTCTCATGTGGTGCTTTGAAAGCAGGACCATCAGTTCAGTACTGTCTCTTAAAGCTCTGGCTTTCCTGCTATGACTCTGCATTTCTGTAGGGAATTAACTTCTTGGAAACAAATGTAATACTGATATCTTTGTAGTGGGGAAATTCATACTACTCATTCCTGGCACTTATTGCTGTTCATTCTAAATATTTAATTCTTTCCTTTCCCTTGTCAAAGGTGTCAGGGAAAAAAGACCATGCATGAGGTCTTCTGGCCCAAGATTATATCATAAATGCTGAGCTTTTCCCAGGGAGTGACGTGTTGCTCACCTCTTTCAGGATCCGGAGAAGAGACCTACTGCAGATGAACTGCTTGAACAACCTCTCCTCAGCAAACGTAGGAGGTAACTGCGTAGTCTTGCCTGGGACCTGGGAGAGCCAGGCATGTCAGGGAGAGCAGGAGGAGGAGGCCTTGTGCAAACTAGTGGTGCTGATGCTTTCAAAGCCAAGCCCTTAGATTAATTTGTGGCTGCCATTACGTGGCTTTTGGAGTAGATTTTATCCACTACAGAAAAAAAGTGTGTTTTGGCTGCCTTGTCTTTGGTCAGTCCCCATCTCTGTTGGCACATGGGTTGGGTGAGAAAGGCCTCTGCAACGCTTGCCTCAGCAGCTTCTGTACTGGGAATGCTGTGCAACCCTTTCTGAGGCTCCTTTGAAGAATGATGATTTTCATTCTTCATTTTAAATCTCTGGGAATGAAGACTTACTCTTAGATCCTTGTATGACCTTTGGAAAAGGCTTTTTTATAATATGCAAGTTCTGCAGTGAGGAGAGACTTGCACTTCCTCCTTTTTTTCTTCCTTTTCCCTGAGGAAGTGTATTGAATGTGGTCAATTTTAATGCAGATTGACCATTGCCTCCATACAGTGTCTTTCTATGAAGGATGGACCAGAGTTTTATACTATTTGGATCCTACTTTGACTGCCCTCAGGACAATGTAGATTTAGTCCTTTATGCAAAGATTATTTTGTTTGGTGTGCAGCAAAGTTGCTGAGTATTGCCTTGCTCATGTAAAAACCCAAATCCTGATAACATTTAGCCCTTTAAGTTATTCTCCTACAATACAAGCATTAGTTGGCTAAATTCTTGTATGTATGTGGTTGTCACTAGCTCTCCTGGAAGCTTGCTAGCTCTGTGACACATTATTTCTGCCCTACTTAATGTGTATTGGTGCGAGCTGGTAAAGAGCTGCCACGTTTCCTCCAAGAGAGAGCAGCATTTTCTGAAAGGCAAAGCTGTGTGTGTGTGTGTGTGTGTGTGTGTGCGCGCTGCTTGTCAGTAAATTGCTTTGGGAGTTGTGTTGCTGTTTCCTAAAATGTTTTTTCTCTTTTGGCAGGGAGATGGAAGAGAAAGTCACGCTGCTTAATGGGCCAAACAAGCGACCAAGGTAATTATTTGGGCACGTGTTTGAGAGGAAATCTGCAAAGAACAGCTCCCCAGAGAGGAATTTTAATGAAAGTGTTGGACTGCGACAATTTTAATGGAATAGTGTAGTTTAGAAGAGCAGCGAGTGCTAGAAATTTTGCATATTCATTCCACGGTTGGTGCAATTCCAAGTTTTGTTCTGCCATTTGTATTCTGTCTGTATGTATGACTAGAATCTTACCTCAGGACCATCCTGCTGAGGATGTGCTTTTCACATCCCTTCTTTCAGGCAGGTTCCCTTCAGCAGGAAGAATATGACTGTCTGACTGTTGACCGTCTTTCATAATGAATATGAAATGAATATACATGTCTTTCATAAAGCTGGATATGGGGAAACATTCTCCCTCATCTCCACCAAACCTGTAATGCAGGGTGGCTCTGTGTGGCAGATGCATTCCATGACATGTATAGCTGTCTTCCTGTTGAATTATCAGACAAAATTTGACCTTTTTCATCATAAACTTGAAATTGCTGTCCAGGCATTTTACATGGGGTTGGTCACAAACATTTTGTTTTGATTACAGCTCCAATTTTGCAATCTATTTGTGAATTGATTGTCTACATGAATTGTCTGCATAAAAATCGAATTTTGCATTCAGATTCAATACCTGAAACTTAAATAAAGAGGTGGTGAAGTGAAAATAGGAGGTTTGGGTTGCTTCCATTAATGTTTGCTGGAGGCTCCTTTCTCTGCTGCTCTGAAACAGATTTGTTCCTGAGCCTCTCTGTAACAGTTCAGGCCTCACAGTCTCTGAGCAAAGAGGGCATTTGGTGAGAAGGAAGAACAGGAGGAATGGTTCTGAAGGGCTGCAGGTTGGGCATGGGAAAATGGATAGCGTGTGGTAGCGAAGCGAGCGGGGACGGCGATCGTAAAGTCGTTATTAAAAGCATGTGTGTTTTGTGGGGGCGGGTCTCGTGCAGGTCAAGTGCCATGAATGAGGCGCCCATCGCAGTCGTGACTTCACGCACTAGCGAGGTGTATGTCTGGGGGGGTGGCAAGTCCACTCCCCAGAAGCTGGATGCCATCAAAAGTGGCTGCAGCGCACGCCAAGTGTGTGCTGGTAACACTCACTTTGCTGTGGTGACAGTGGAGAAGGAGCTCTACACGTGGGTGGTAAGTGAGAGAAACCACAGGAAGTGCTTAAAGGACGAGAGGAGAGTCCAGATCCACCAGAACCATTCATGAGCCTGTTAAAGCCTCAGGAAATTTGATTGTAGGGAATGCTGGGGAACGGAGGAGACAGTCTGCTTTGCAAGTCTCCCAAGGTAAATTGTTTTTGAGAGAAGTTTTCAATCACGCTGGGGTGTGTTTTGGAGATCTGCTGTGCACTTGAGGCCTGCAGGTGGTGGATCTGTAAAACAAGAGCCGTATCAAACATCTCCTCTTCCTCTTTTTGGACCATTAGAAATGCAGTGGAGGCTTGATGACATTCAATTGGCTTTTGTATATTTGAGGAGGGTTTTCTGAGATTATAGAGAATGGGATGGTTGACCTCACTGTAGAACAGAAGCTATCTGTGAGGAGACTTATCAATATAGCCAGAACTGTCCTGTACTAACTCTGATTTTCACAAATTTTGCAACAGCTTAAAAGTGAACAAAAAATGGTAGCATATAATGTATTTATAACAGCTGAGTCCAGTCATCTTGGATTTACATGGTCAATAGCAGGGATTTCGTGCAGATACCCAGGCTTACACCAGGTTTTGTATTTATGATATGGAATCTGTTAGATGAGATTAGGAAACACTGGTAAGTGGGTGAGAGAAGAAAGAGATCCAAATTGCAGAGGAGCATCTTGAGTCATTCGCTGGATGATCCTCCTAGCATGGCCATTGAAAAATTTCACTTGGCTATTAACATTTTAGTTTCAGCTTCAGCACTACTTGGAGCTGAAGTTTGTCTTTGCCTGCAGACTTGGCAGGCTCAGCTCTTCAGTGACATTTGTTTCACTGCAGATATTTGGACATAAAAATGTAGGTAAAAAGGCTGAAGTGTGAATTGCAGTCCTGTAGCAAGGGAGGTGGCCTGGCAGATAAGTGCAGGGAGGGGAGGGAGGGAGCAGGGATTCCTCCCTGATTCTTAGACCCACCTGAGGGTGCACACATTCCTCGTGAGTGTCTTAAGTGCCTGAAAGTCTGTGCTGCCTATTACGTGGCGCTTGCTGTTACACCAGAGTGAAACAGCCTTTTCCCAGGAGAGCTAAGACACTTCCTCTTGCACTTTTCTGTTGTTCCTGGGAAGCTTTGTAGTTACTGGCACTGTCTGCTGTGTTGTGGATACGTAACCTCACAGATGTTTCTGTTTTCCAGAACATGCAGGGGGGTACCAAGTTACATGGGCAGCTGGGGCATGGAGATAAGGCCTCCTACCGGCAACCAAAGCATGTGGAGAAGCTTCAGGGAAAAGCCATTCGCCAGGTGTCCTGTGGGGATGACTTCACAGTCTGCATCACAGGTAGGAGCTGCAAGGGGAGAACCCTCAGAGAACCCTCCCTTTGCTGTGCTGAGGAGATGCTTGCCTTAGCAATAAGATTAGTAGAGCAGCTACTAATCCATGTTTTACTTCCAATAGTTTTGCAAATAACAGGTGCAATAGGGGAGGTAAATCCACATTATTCTACAAAAGAAAATACTGAATCCCAAGGAGAGTGACTGTTTGGCTGAAGATGGGTCCCCTTATGGGGCACCCCAAGATTGAAATGAGAGGTGGATTTGAGACATACTATTTAATTCAGAAAAGCTTGAGACCTGGTGACTGCATCTAATTCTTCAGTACTTTTAAGGATGTATGAGCCATGGTATTACCTGTTGTGGGAAAGTTCAGATCATGCTATGCCCTTGAAAACATAATTCTCAACATGAGATTTTCCAGTTTGTTCTGCCAGTTCTGGAAAAGCAAAGTCTGGCAGAGATGAATTCATTATCACAGCACATTGAGTGTTTGGCTTAGGGCATCTCAGGGTCAATTTGTGGGTTTCTGTTACAAAAGGTGGCAGGTTCAGCCATGTGTTTTGTAATATTAGTGCTGCAAAGGCAGCAGCTTGTAGCATAAGGTCGTTCATCTTCTTGATAACTAAGAACTGCTCTGTATCTCCTGATGCCGTTCCTCTGCATTGAAGATGGGGGAGATTACAAAAAAGGGTTTGCTCTTGCCACATCTTCAGAGGTTGATATGCAGCCTGTTACAAGGTGTCCGTGCTGACTGCTTCCTTTGTGCCCTGCAGATGAGGGCCAGGTGTATGCCTTTGGCTCAGACTATTATGGATGCATCGGCATTGACAAGGCTCAAGGCTCTGAAGTGCTTGAGCCCCTGCAGTTGGATTTTTTTCTTACCAACCCTGTGGAGCAGGTCTCCTGCGGAGATAACCACGTGGCAGTTCTCACCAGGAACAGAGAAGTCTACACGTGGGGCTGTGGGGAGTATGGTAGGTAGAGCCTCTGTGGGCCTGGTGGCATTGGGGCACGGCTGCCCTTCGAAGCGGCTTCGTGTAGGTGTGCGGTGCAGGACCTGGCTGAGGGCTGTCTGCTGTATCCTGGGGGGAGAGATTGCTTCTTTGGGTCTTTCTTTCCTTGTGAGAATGGGGACTGGCGACTGAGCTCTTGGGATTTCCTTCGGGAAATTGTAGGGTGCTGGAGGAGGCATCTCTGGTACTGGGGTAGTCTTTCTGGAAGTGGAGATGGATTATCTTGAGAAATGGCAAGTGATGATGGATGTAGAGAAGCAGGTTTCTAGTGGGGAGATTCCTTTGGGACTAGGGAGAGATCATACTGGTTTTTTAGGAGCAGGTATTTTGCGTGGCTGTTTCTGACTGCAGTGTTCTTGCTGATACAGGGCGCTTGGGCTTGGATTCGGAAGAAGATCACTACACCCCTCAGAAGGTAGGGCTTTCACTGCCTCTTTCCAAAACCTGCATGGGCATAAATGCAGGTTACTCCCTGTTCTGAAATATTGCCTGTCTGAAGTGATGTGTGCTTTTTAAAATATATATATATATATTTAAATATAAATATATTTATAAATATATTAATATAAATATATAAATAAATATAAATAAATATATATATATTATTTTTATTTTTTCATTTCCTGAGGTATTATAAGGTTTGTGAGGGCTTTACCTTTACTTTGCTTCATTTGTCCTTGGGCATGCCTCCCCAAACTGGCTAGCAACTTGACTTAGAGATTCATGTCTCTGATACTCAAGCTGAAAGTGCAAATGCTGAGCTTGGAGAACACTGTAGAAATCTCAGTAGGAAATAACCAAATTTCCTCCTTCAGATCTGTAGAGGAATCACGCAGCATTGCAGACAATTGGGAATCTTTGACATGCATTAAAGATGAGTTGAAAGTAAAACTTTCTTAAAATATTTAATGTATTAATGTTTAATGTATTAATTCCATTGTGGATAGTAAAAACAAACAAGAAAACAATAACCTTGAGCCAAATTTGACTTGCTGGTATTCTTCTTAGCTGCAGTGTTCTGCAGGACAGATCTGCATCATACATGGGCACAGGCACGCCAGGCTGATATCAGCTGGAGCTTCTGGTGCACAGAGTACATTGCATGCTTAGTAAGTGGTGCCTGGAAGCTATGTGGTGCCTGGAAGCTATACATCTGCAGTCAGCCAGTATTGCACCCACACTGCAAAGACCCAGCCCTGCTTGGCTGGCTGGGCTGGGTGCTTCTAAATGCCAGTTGCTGAGATGCCTGTGCACCGTATTTCTTGTTCCTTCTGTTCAGAAGTGTCTACATAGCAAGGTCTAGACATGTCTTAATTTACTGTATTGGGGCTGGAGTTTCTCAGTGTGCCTTAGATTTTATGATTTTATTGCACCTTCATTGACACGACCACATTAGGTGCTGTCAGACTAGCTCTGTTTCAATGTGTTTTCCATGGGGCCCACGAGATTTTGATTTTTTCATGATTTGTTTCTTTTATGTAGGTGGATGTTCCAAAGACCTTAAACATCGTGTCTGTTCACTGTGGCTGTGATGGGACTTTCCTGCTCACCCAGACAGGCAAAGTTTTGGCGTGTGGCCTCAACGAGTTCAACAAGTTGGGCTTGAATCAGTGCACATCAGGGATAATTAACCACGATGTAAGTGCATTCAGATCCCTGGTTCTAACTTCCAGCAGCCAGTAGCACATGGGGAGATAGAGATCCTACACCACTGACATTAGTGCATTAGTGTTGTCCCAGTCAGTTCCAGTCCAAGAAGATAGATATTGGTGTAGTGAGAAGAGGCAAATTGTTCCTCAGCTTCCTGATTGCCCTGTGGGCCCATGTCAAAGCTGAGGCAATAAAACAGCTAGTGGTCTTTGTCAAGGCCATGTACCCTGTGACATGGAATCTGGCAGGAGCTTCCCACAGCTTGGAGGGGGCTGAGCTGACGCTGTGGTCTGTCGAGACCTGCTCGAGTAGCCTTAACTGATGAACATCTGTTTTCTCACTCTGTGCTTACCTAGATGTTGTCTTTTCTCAGACATACTGTGAAGTGCCCTACACCACTTCCCTCACTTTGGCCAAGCAGCTCTCCTTCTACAAGATCCGTACCATTTCTCCAGGGAAGACCCACACAGCATCTATTGATGGTGAGTCCCACTCATAACCCCTGAGGATGGGCCCCACTTTCCTGAAGCCAGAGAAGGGAATTATAAGCTGGTGTCCTCAGAATTGGACACTGATTCTACATCAGCTTTGCCCTCTTAGCCTGGCTTCCCTTGGTGAACCAGCAGATCCATGCAGGGGTTACACTGGCACATGAGGGTTGCACTGTGGTAGCAGGACTTGCAGATGGCTGAGAAACCTCATGATTGCTGTCTCCTGGCCACAGTAGCATTAGTCATTAGTTACTGGGCCAGTCCGTTTAAAAAAAAAAAAAAAAAAAAAAAAAAAAAACAGATTTTGGAAGATTTATGCTTTGGAAAAGTAGAGGAAACATTTTTGATTCCTCCTAGGCGATGTGAAACTTGGTCAGAGGGCTGGAGGGGTCCCAGCTGCTAGCTTCAGAAAAAGGGAGCAAGACCTGGGTGGGCAATTCCCAGCGGCAGCCGTTCCCCTGGGCTGGCACTGTCCCCTCCCAGCCTGCTCTCCGTGGTGCTTTCTGGCGTCGGGCTGTCGCCGTGAGCTCCCTGCGCACGTGGCTGCTGCCAGAGGTGGCCCTCGCTGTGACCGTCTCCCCGTTGCCCCTGGCAGAGCGAGGCCGCCTGCTGACCTTCGGCTCCAACAAGTGTGGACAGCTTGGCGTCGGGGACTATAAGAAGCGCCTGGGAATTAACCTGCTGGGAGGCCCCTTGGGGGGTAAGCAGGTGATCAGGGTGTCGTGTGGAGATGAATTCACCATAGCTGCTACTGACGGTGAGTGGCTCTTTGCGAGGCTGTGGTGGGTTCCTCTGAAGTACATCTGCAGGATGGTTGCCTGGCTCCCATGGAGCATTTTTTAGACTGCCTTCCACAGCACTGTGCTGGAATAAAGAAATCTTCACAACCTAGGCCCTGTGCCTTGGCCTCGTGCAGTGCCAGGCGTTTGCTGTCCTTAGGTCTGCAGAGTGCTGCCTTGCAGGCTGCTGCTTAGAGCCAGTGCCAGTTTACCCTAGTGCTGGCAAGCTGGTGCTGGTGGGGTACGTGCTTTGAGATGGCATTTACACAGGATCCTTATGATCCCCTGAGATCCCTGCAACAGTTACAGGCTGACAGAGGGTGACTGGAGGCTCCTGAATTTCTCTTTCTTCAGACAACCATATCTTTGCCTGGGGCAATGGTGGGAATGGGCGCCTGGCGATGATACCAACCGAGAGAGCTCACGGCTCCGATATTTGTACCTCATGGCCTCGGCCAATATTTGGATCTCTGCATCATGTCCCTGACTTGTCGTGTCACGGCTGGCACACTATCATCATTGTGGGTAAGTGTGAGTACCCGGTGGATTATTTCTGGACTAGATTAAGATGATACACAGTTTGCCAGGACCTGGCCTGTGAATCTTGCCTGAAAACAAGCCAGGTTGCACTGGGGGAATGTGGTGAGCCTCTCTCAGCTGTTAGACTGCAACACTGGCTTTGTCCTGTGCTCTCTGTAGGAGTTCCCTTGCTCTCCACATGGTCTTTTAATTGAAGGGGTGTGTTCTTTCTCCCTGCAGAAAAGGTGCTGAACTCTAAAACGATCCGATCCAACAGCAGCGGCCTGTCCATTGGCACGGGTGAGTCACCAGCCCTGGGGAGCTGCCTTTTAAGCCAGTTCAGTGGTTGTTGTGACTGGGTCTTCAGCTCACTCCTGAGGCATCGTTTCTCTGTCTTTGAAGGGCGTGACAGAAGTATGTGAAGGGAAGATGTCCAGTTAGTGCAATGCATGGGAAGGGAAGGGGTGAGCCTGGGAAGAAGGGGAGAACTGAAATGTGAGGGAGCACAGGGAAGTTGTAGGGCCTTTGCAGTGAGAAGCGTCAATTTGTCACGGAAATGGTGAGAGCAGTTCACTAAGGGAGCTGAGTGAGGTAGGAGAGTTAGGGAGAAGCTGCTGGAAAGGTTCAGTCCCATGTCATGGGGGAGAAGCTGCAAGAGTGCTGGGGAGAAGGCAGCTGCCGAGGGAGCTGCTGCGGGTACATGCGCTCCTTCACCATGGCTGCACGGGCCTGGCTTCGGGGAAGCCACAGACCCCCCTTCTGTGCCCTGCCTGGGGGTTGGCACCACTTGTGCTCCCTGGAATAGCCCGGTCAGGATACGTCTGAAGTTGTCACTTTTCTTGTTTGTTAGTGGCTCAGAGCTGTACAACTGGAGGAGGAGAGGAAGAGGAAAATGAAGGGGAAGCAGAGACTCCTGATCCCAGTGGAGGCTTTCGAGGAACCATGGAAGCAGATCGTGGAATAGGGGGCTGGATCAGCACTACGGAAGCGAAGGGGCATGACATGGCTGACAGCAGCTCCTGCCCTGGGTGGCTGCGCAAGGTGATGGGCTGCCTCAGAAATGCCTTAGAGTGGGCTCAGAGGCTGGGGAGGAGCAAGGGCCCCTTTCTGTAAGGGCTGCTCAGAAAGGAGTTGACCAGAGTTGCGGGTGCAGTTTCTAGTCTGCATCCACAGAGCGCAGCTTGCGCGCCCCGCTCTGCAGCGCTCGCTGGGCTGGTTCTGGCAGCAGCCTCAGAGCCCGAGCTGTGTGGAGGGCTGGCTGCCTGGGGTGGAGGGTCCTGCTCGCCAGCCCTGCCTCAGGCTGGGGCCCTATAAAGAAATCTTCAGCCATGGCTGATTTTTTTTTACCACGAGAGGGTGCTGGTGAACTGGCTGAGGAGGTTGAAGTCACCTGCAGGAGCGGGCAGGCCTAACAGTGCTGCTTTGGTTTGTTCAGGAGCTGGAGAATGCTGAATTCATCCCCATGCCTGACAGCCCCTTTCCGCTGAGCATGGCATCCTCAGAGCCCGAAAAGGAGACTCTTCCTTACCAGGAACTTCAAGGGCTGAAAGTGGCCCCTGAGGAATCTACTGGATTCAACAAGCCCAAAACAGAGGCCTGGGTAACGTTATTTAGGTTTCCCACAGTGAATTCTTGGCAAAAAGATCCTGGGACTGTTAAACAACAGTGTATGAATTATGGGGAGAGCTGGGAGGGAGTGTTGGATTGACCTGGTTCTTCTGGATGAGGAAAAGAGGAGTGTTGATAATCAAAGAAGTCGTAGCAAATACTATGAAGAGAATGATTCAAGGCATTCTAGAACGTGAGGCAGGAGGTTGTTCAGATTAAAAGAAATCTGTAGAAAAATGCAGTTAAAGTGTTTGAAAATATAGGAGCCTAGCAGCAAAACAGAGAAATCTGTTTAGAAAGCATAAACTGCTGTGAGATGGAGAGGAAGAGGGATTTATATAGGAAATTACTGAAAAGTTATAACCTGTGAGACCGCCCTATTCCAGGAGCATCTGTTCCATGAACAGGCACAGATCTCAGCCTTAGGGACAGGGGTTGGACCGGATGGAATTTGGAGGCAGGAGCTTGCCCAGAACAAGGAGGAAGATGATGGCTCGGTATTGAGACTTGACCAATTTGCCTGCTGGAGACTTTGAAAGCTGGGCCTCGGTGGGGTGATGGCCCTTTGTGCCTGGGCTGCTGCTGTGGCACACGCCACCCTTGGTTCGGCAGTTGCCTTCCACACTGACCCGCTCTGCTTTCCCCCTGCAGCCGCCGTGCGTGGGGGCAGCCCCGCCAGGCGGGGGGCAGGCCGTGCCTCCCGTGGCGGGCTGCGCGTGCGCCGCCCTGCAAGAGGAAGTGGCCCGTCTGCGGGGGCTCGTCCTGCAGTGCCTGCAGGAGCAGAAGCAGCTGCAGCAGGAGACTGTTCGCCTGAGCACCCAGCTGCAGAGCTGCTGCAGGGGCCTGGAGGCAGTGCGGCAGGTGAGCACCCGGCAGCTGCATGCACATGCTGAGGGCTCGGGACCCTGATCCTGCCTCCTGAGCAGCCTGCGGAGGCTGCGGAAAGGGAAGTAGCTCGTAACAGACTCTCCTGTGAGAGCAAAGCTTGGTGGAGTTGCTGGTACTGTCTCCAGTATTAGAAACGGGAATAAAGCCAAGAAGTTGGTTACCTGTGAGGACAGCCCAACCCTGGAGGGTTTGGGATTCCCCATTATCTCTCCTGGTGAGAAAAGAGGGATAGCCAGATATTTGGGAGAGCCCAGATGGCTGTGGAGAGTAGGAGTTGAGCTTTGTGCGATTCCTGGCTTCTTCCCAGCCAGTCCCTGAGCTGTTTCTGAGAGTTGCTGTGTTCGACAGGTGGAAGTTCATTCCAAAGGAACCCAGACAGCCAAAGAGGAGATGGAAGTAGATCCGAAACCTGACTTGGATTCAGATTCCTGGTGTCTCCTGGGAACGGACTCGTGCCGCTCCAGCCTCTAGTCTCCTGAGCCCACTGGGATCCATCTAACTTCACAGCACACTAACCGAACGCAGAGAGCGGCTTTCCTGGCTTCAGGTCACTCGCAGACAAGGAGCGAGGCCGGAGGCTCCGGAGCAGCACCCATGTACGTTTGATATGAACTAGGAGTGAGTTTGGGAGGGGAGGGCCCCTGAGCTCCAGGCTCAGTGATTGAAGCAGCAGCAGCTCTTCTTTGTACCTCATCTGTCCATTCTGCCTGTGAGGCAGAGCAGCCCCGTCACAGCGATGGCTCCAGTAGTGGCTTGTGGCCCTTTCATTGTTTCACTGCTTCCTGGGAGCTGCCTTTGGGACCCCAGTTTTCATCACTGCATTTCTAGGTATGAGGAGGAGGAGGAAGCAAGTTTTACCGAAGCAGGCTGAACCCAAACACTCGCCACCTCCGCTGTAGAAGGGCGAAGGACTTGGGTCCTCTCCCTAGCACGTGGTAAGGCCCAGCTGGCAAGGTTCTTCCCCTCTGTTCAAGGGCAGAGGGAGCAGCAAACGTCTCATTCTGGAGGCAGTGGAGGTCTCCCTGCTGGGGAGATGATGGCAGGCAGCCCTGGCCCTGTGGCTGTGTCCAGTGGCCAGCATGGAGAGAATTTAAAGACTTAATTCTGGAGCCTTAAGCTTTCCACCTTCCAGGCACCGCAGAGAGACAAGTGAAGCAGGTGCAGTTTCCAACAGCAGCAGAGAGGACTCTCTGGGATGGGATCTCTGGTACCCACTTTCAAACCGCCTGCTTTCTAACGAGGTGACGAGTGTCTGGGTCTCAGACCACGTTGCCTATTTCTTCCTCCATCTGTTCAGCCTGGTTTGGGTGCCAGAGCTTCTGGCTTCTTGGCGTAAACCCATAGCTGCCCCCTGCTTGACTTCTGTTCTGCTCAGCCCCTGGCACCCGTGATCTGTGCGGGTGTGGGAAGAATCAGTATTTTTTCCACTCAGTGTTTTGATGAAGCTGGAATGTAGTTTCCTACCCAGAATAGGTCATTAATGCTGTGGTCACAGGATGCAGCCTTTCCCAGTGACTGTGGGTGATCAAGTCTGTGGCCGGAATTCACCCTCTTTCTAGAAGCAAGAGGCTTTCCCAAGGAAATTGGAGATGGGAAGAGGTCTGATGCTCAGAGTTACCTCATTTCCGATTAGATAATTGGGTTAATTTTATTCCCTTTTTTTTTTTTTTAAAGTAATCTGATTTTGGACTAAGCCTGTGGATTGGCGGGGCCCCCAGGAGCAGTTCGTGCCCCCCCGCCCCCTTACCTGAAGTGTCTAAGGAGTCCCGAGTCCCTCTCTCCATTGCTGGGAGAGTGCGGTTGTGATTTTTGTTACCCATAAGTCATCCCCGTCACTAGAATTGCCTTGGGTCTGTTGGAGACGGCTCTGCTGTCACCTCTCCTAGACCTTTTCCTTCAAGAGGCTGTTCTTGGGAACCTGGCGTTCCCCCGTCGCCTCTGGAGGTGAATGCCAAGCTATTCTGCTTGTAACCAGTGCTCCTTAAGCCTTTTCCTGGTGCCTATCACTAGTATCTTGGAGCTCAGTCGAGCGCAGTCTCTCCAGGGCAGCGCTCGGGGCAAGGATAGTGCCAGTGTGTCCGCCCGTTCCTCCTGAAGGAAGGGCGGGAGGACGGCCCTTGTGGCAGGAGCCACATCACCGGGCTGCCCCGGGGGCCCTGCCCTCTTTTCCCCTGCGTGTGGAGCCAGTTCTCGGGTCAGGGTGTCCCAGCGTGGTGGTTGTTGCTGCCGTTGGAAATGAAGGAGCCAGTCGTGCCGCAGCAGAACCTTCGCGGAGTGAAGAGCCGGGCCCGAGCCGTGTCCGGTAATCCTGGAGCATCGAGCACGGGGGAGTCGCTCTCCTGCAGCGCACTGCTATCCTCATCTCCCAATGCTCTGCAGTGGGGAAGCTAGGAGCACGCACTGGATTCCCCTCGGATCTCGTGGAGGGTTAGGGTCCCTGACGGAGGATGCCCTGTACTCCACAATCTCATTTAGTGCCTTAGAAGATTCACGCTATCCAGGTTGTGCCTATTACAGACCACAGACTTCACACCAGCCAGCTATGCAACCAAAAAGCAGTTTAAAGTCAGCACCTCCGTCTTGGCCTGAAATTGGGAGGGCAAGTGGGCAGAAGTGCCTTTGAGCAATTCCGAACCCTTTTGCCTTCTCCCCTTCTTGCAGTGCTAGCCCCGTACGTGTCAGTCTCCTGCTAGTATTGCTCCTGAATTGTTATAGTGAAACACAACCTACGCCTGCTCTGACACTCTGGCTGAAAAACTAGTTTGTCGTCTTTTTTTTGAAAGGTTAAAGGGTGGAGTGGTTTGGAGTTTCTGTTTAAATAAATGTTTAAACCCAGTCTGTGTTCTGGCCCTTTTTAGCATGGGAAGGGAGATATGCATATAAGCAGCTGGGATGCTGCAGTTGTGTTGTTTTGATTTTCTTTACAGAAAGAGAGCCAGGGGCTTGCGGAGTCATTGCTGTGGAAGAGGGTCAAGTTCTGCACCTTTTTAAGAAAAGAAAGGGAGGGCAGGTGTCTCTCTCCTCTTGTTGCTGCTGCTTCTCCTAGTGACGTCAGGGGCCTTTAGTGCGTGTCGGTTTTACAACAGCTTCGGTGCCAAGTGGAAATGAGTAATAGGAAGAGACAGGCTCAAAGGGAAGAACCTGTTTCTCCAAACAGCTTCTGCTGGGCGTTTTAGTCTCCAGAGCGAGAACCTGGCTGCCACCTGCTCTGCTGGCTCTTCCTGCACCATGTAATTACGTCTGTCACTTTGCTTGTTATCTGGGTTTTCAGTAAACTGTGAAATGTCTTGAGAGGCAGAACTGGGTTATAGACTTCTCAGTCACCAGAGAGTGAAAGAAAGAAAATGTAGCCTGTTCCCGAGACCGGGCTTGTACTGCAGAAGCAGCAGAAGAACCTGAGCCAGTTTGAGTCACATGGCCCAAGGAACATCGAGGTAATGGTAATGATGACAGCAAAGGAGTAGGGTAAATCGGTTTGCATCGAACCTGGTGCTGTGGCCAAGCTATTCAGTTTTAAAACAGCTACCTGAGACTTTCTGGGTGCTGCTGTGTTACCTTCATAGGCTTGTTACCTTCATCTACCACAGCCACTCTGCACTCTAATGACTTCAGACATGCTAAATGCTGCCAATAAAATACAGTGTAAAGAAAATGGGTTTATATTATATGACAGGTAAGGATACTTAACACCCCTTCATTTAATTCAGTTACTCCTTTCATTAATTTACAGGAGGCTGGCATAAAGCTTCCCCTCTACCCCTTTCCATCTTCTGTCATGTCACCTCCTGCTATTGTTTACTGATGAGCTCTGAAGTTCAACACAGCTCTACCTCTGGGGTCCCTTTGGATATAACAGCAGTGTTTGCTGTGGCTCTGGGCTGGGCTTCCCTCCCCTCTGGGTTTGTCCACCCACATACCTGGCCAGCCCAGAGCACTGACTCCTCCTGGGACCATCATATTTTCCCAGGGTGGGCCAAGGAATGGGGCCTTGTGCCCGCATAGCTGTAGACAGAACCACTCCAACCTTTCTCAGGAATCTGTTCCACCCCTTGCAGGCTGAGTGTTTGCTCACATGCAGCTTCCAACTAATCCAGTTCAGTCTAGTCCCTTTTTTTTTGTCTTTTCCTAGGTTCCCATGAGCTCAGGCTCTGTTGCTGATGGATTTGCAAAAGGAGCTGCTGGAAGTTTTTTGTTCCTTGTTTGCTTCCTGTTGCAGATTTCTCATACTTGTAGTCAACTCCATTTTGAGAACAAAAAACACCCTGTGACCATTTAATATGGCTTTTACACAACAGAACTAGTCTAATAATATCTTAAAAATTAGAATCTTGAAATAAACTGACCTAGAAACATGTGCATCAACAACTGTCATCAGCTACAGATGCTTCCCTAAAAGCACAGGACGCCTCCTCCCCCAAAAGACATTTTAACAGCGCATGAAAAACTCCTACTTCCAGCACAGGCAAAACCCACTAAGAACTACTTTGCAATGCAGGAAGAAAGCAAGAGAAAGGGCACAATTTTTGTCATATTTCCCTTTCCACAAACGATGAAAATAGCCAGGTGACTCAAGGAAGCACGTCAGCCTAGCCATGAGGAAAAACTCAAATTTATATGCTCAGGATTAAATAAAAAATTAAATTTAATATCAGAGGAAAACAGCTGAGTTTTCAGATGCCAAGTTCCTCAGCATACTATCTGGTTACTTTGTTTTTTTTAAACCTTCCATCCAAAGCTAAGTTAGGAATCAAGGGGGGTGGTAGTGGGAAGGAGATTCCATCTCAGCTCCAGCAAGGAATACAGTGAAGCACAGAACTCTCCGTCACTTCTCCCCTGGTTAGAAACCTTATTTCCAGCTAAAGTTTACTTATGACCTATTTAGATCACATGCAGTATTATTCTTTAACTTACACGTTTCTTGTTTCCCGACCCTGAGCTGCAGTTACGTGGTAAGCAGCCACTTTGGGATGGGTGTTCAGGTGCCTCAAGGGCCTGGGCCAGGTGTGGGCATCTCTGCTGTTCTCTGTGTGTGGATTGGCATAAAGATCCTCAGACCCTCAGGGCTGCTGCTGCTGGCTTCTAATAATCTGGATTTCTGCTCCTGGGATTCAGAGGAAGCAGCTACTACTATTCCTGCCAGGTCTCCTTTCCTAAGCCAAGCGATGCCATCAGCTGCCGCTCTGAGAGATGCTGCATTTCTAGGGTAGCGCGTTGCTCATCTTCCAGATCAACACTAGGCTTCCCGAAAAACATCTAGATAAGCTCCTGGCTCGTGCAGAACAAGTATGCACTAAACTTATCAGCTTTCATTATTCAATTTAACAGCACTACAACAAACAGGACAACATGAACAATGTCTCAAAGGCAGGCAGGGCTGCTGCCGTCCTGCAGTTACTCATGAGGGAAACACAGTCTGTGTGCTGCTTTCTGATTTGACTACCTGCATCGTTACCCCCTGCCCATATAACTTCTCCACATGTCCCATCTAATTGCTGAACAGTTCTTAGGAGTGCAGACTCCATCCTAGGGCACAAACAAACAAGTCAAGCCTCACACCTCCATCTCTTGTAGGTAATTACAATAAAAACACTCCTGCAGGCAGAGCTGGGGTCACTGTCAGCACGTTCAGGTGTCAACATCTGCATTCACAGAACGACAAAATAAACCAAAGGCCGATTCATTCTCTTGCCCAGCTGACTCCCATGTGCAGGTGTCAATTTGAGCTCCTAAGCACCGTGCTGCTCTTTACTTTTATGGTAGAAAAAAGCCCTGAGACATCAGACACCCTTGAGCAGAAGGGAGAACAGTTACTCCCACAGCAGACACCATTATTGCAAAGCAGGGAGGAAAAGCAGACCTCTCCAAGCTGAAAGCAAAATATGGTTCTGAAGAACAACCCCTTTCTGATGGCTGGCTTATTCTTTGCTGCTGTCTAGGTGACACCTGTAGCAACAGGTGGAAAGAGACCACCTTTCCCCTCACATTAAGTCTTCCTGAGAACACCGGATAGGGAAGACGACCCTCGGAGGGGCACCCCGAGTGTCACAACCCCCTCGCGCGCTCGGGAACCATGGGGCACAGGTCAAAGCACACGCACTTTAATAAACTTTTTCCGCTTGCAGTACATGGCAGGTGAGCCCTCGCGGCCGGCAGGGGAAGGCGGGAGGAGAAGCTGGAGGGGAGCAGGGACCACGCGGCCCCGGCCTCAGCAGCGCCGCCTCTGCGGCGGCGGCGGCCGGTTCTTGATGGTCTTGCACTTGGGCACGTGCCTCTCGGCCACCTTGGGGGCAAAGCGGCGGCTGCAGTAGGGACAGGCCACGTAGTCTGGGTTCTGCACGGGGGGCAGCGGGGGCAGCTCGGACACCTTGCCTCCCTTGGAGAGCACGTGCTGCAGGCGGCGGGCCTGGCGCAGCGTCTGGATGAAGGACTCGTGCTTCTGGCGCCAGCTGCTCCTCCTGGGGGGCTCCTCCTGCGCAGGGAGACGCGGTCAGAGCAGCTGGCGCAGCACCCGGCGCCCGCTCGCTGCCCGAGCCGGGCCCAGCGCGCCGCTCCCTCCCTCATCCCGCACGTCGATGAAACAACCCCCAGAGAAGCCAGGCCTCCTCACACAGGAGCCAGCCCGTCAGCGCTAAGGGGGAATCGAGAGTCACCAATATCTACACCAATATTTAGGAAAGGCTTGGGAACAACCAGAAGGACCAAGGAACTGACAAATACACTATAGGAACAAGGCCGCATTTTTTCACTGCCTTCCCTTAAATATTATGTTTTATTACCTGGATTTTCAACCATTTCCCTGCACCCTCCTCATGCCACCAGTCCCTGTCTCGCTGCAGCAGATCCACCCTGCCCTCTGACTCCAACGGGTTTCTCTGGCACCCCAACACACAGCGAGGACAGCCCATTTGGACACCCTCTAATCCCACCACGTGCCTGGCAGCGGCTGGAGCACCCCCCATTTACGTGCTTGGCAGGGGCCTGTCAGAAGGGAGGGCTGGACAGTATCCCCACCCCTGGGAGCACGGGGAGGAACCCGTGTCGGGGCCACATTCGTGTCCCCAGGGAGGAAGAACATGGGTACCCACACGCTGCGGGTGGCAGAGGGACCGCGCGTTACCTGAGGGCTCTCTGAGCTCTTCCACTGCCGATACTGCTCCAGCTCCGTGCCCCTGGCCCTCGCTTTGCTCGAGTCGAACACCTTCCTCTTGGAGCCCTGGCTCTTGCTGCAGATGCTCGTGTGCTTCTCCAGCCTGGTGCAGAGAAACCTGCGGCCGCAGAAGCTGCACTGCCCCAGCTCCCCCTGCTCCGCAGCGCCGGGAGCCTCCGTGTAGGACGGCTCCGCAGCTGGGTGGTCGCCAGATTCTTGATCGGAAAGGGCAGAGGGAGAAGGGCTCTGTTTTGAGACCGGCTCTGAGCACGAGCCTAAATCCTGCGCAGGTTTGCGCTCCCGTATTTTGCTATTGCTGGCCACCAAACGTTCCTTCTTGAGTTTCCCCATAGCGAGCTCTTGGGGACGGAGGCTGGTGCCCAGCTTGAGCCTAGTGACCTCTGGGGACTGCGCCCTATCGAAGTCCCCATCGCCAGGCCTGGCTGCAAGCCTGAAAAGGGTCTCTTCAGAGTGTCTGGTGGCTTTTTGCTCCGGGGACCTCTCCACTTCCCTGGCTCTCCTCTCCTCTGCCTCCACCAACTCCTTCTCTCTTTGAATCCTCCTAAGCTCTTCCTTCGTTCTCCTCAGCTTCTCTTTGAGGATGGCCTCTTTCTTCCGGATCTCCTCTTCCAGGTTCTGCCCATCTGCCTCCAGCCTCAGGATGTAGGCCAGCTCCCTCCTGTAGAGAGGGGACACTGACTGCTTCGCTCCTGCTGCCCAAGGAGAGAGGACGGCAGCGAGCTGTGACCTCCCCGCTGGCGCCTTCCCCTTGCCCTTCGAGCTGGGCTGGCTGCTTGGGGACTCCTCCATGCACAGGGGGCTTCTGCGCTGCCCGGGCTCGGCCGCCGGACCACTGCCAGCCTTGCGGTGGCAGATGGGCTTCAGTGGGTACGAGCGGTCCACCCCTTCCCGCCCTCTGGCTACCGGTTTGGAGGGCAGAGTCGAGGTCTGGCCGCTGAGGTGCTTGCTCTGCAGTCCGGCCGAACAGAAGCCTCCCTGTCTGTGCTGACCGTTCTCTGCGGACAGGGAATAGGGATAGCTTTGGCTTTTGGGGGTATAGAGATCCTTTAAACTTTCCTCTTTGTCATGTAGGAGTTTGTGATGAAAAGGGCCCTTTGAGTGTTCCAGCTGGGACTGGTGGGCTGCGACTTTGGAATCGTATCTTCCCGGGAGCTTGGGAGCCGCCGCCACGGAATCCACAGGCGGGAGCAGAGCCAGCTGCAGCTCAGCCATTCAGCGCCTGAGAAGCAGCCTGGGGTCAGAGGCAGCACCGATCCACTCCGGCTATCCCAAATCCAGAAAATCCCCCTCCGACAGCCTGCACGCACCTCCCTCCCCCCGGCTGCCTCCCGTGCTCATCCAGCCCGCACCGCCGAGGGCCTTTATTTCCCCTTCCCTTGGCGCCACGGCCCGGGGCACTCCACGGCCACCGGGAGCCGCCGGGATCCCCGCGGGGCCCCGGGAAGCCCCGGGCGCCCCGATTGGCGCGCCGACCTTGTGACGTCATCCGCGGC